GAAAATATGAGGGCAAGCCAGGAGGGATAAATAGTCTAAAGCAGTGGTTCTTAACCTGTGGCTCACGATGCCTTTGGGGGGGGGGGTGTGTGTCACACGAAAATCTGTTCATTTTGCTATCAAATGGACTGCCTGCTTTCATTCTTCCTTTCTAGCATGACTCTATGTGGATTCTGAGGGAAGGCCCTTGTCTCCTTTCAGCTTCTGTTCCTCCGATCTTTGGCAGTCTTCAGGTTGGGGTTGGGGGGGGGGGGTGTGTGTCACTATGGTTCAGTGGGTTTTCTCTTTCTGAGGGTGGTAACTATTAGCCGGAGGGTATTGATGGTGTAGTGATGAAAACACTCTGATGCAAACCAGAACCCACCAGCCTCTCCATGGGAGGAAGATTCAGCTTGACAGCCTTGGAAACCCACAGGGGCAGTTCTCCGCTTTCCCATAGTGTGAGCTTGGCGGTTTTGTTTTCTGGTTTGGGCTTTTGGGGCACTGTCCCTTCTAGTCCTTGTAATAGTAGTGTATCCTCACATTTTCCAGCTTTAGTTGACCACTTCTTTTCTGATTAAGCCTCTACAGATGTACAGTGTAGGGCTTCTTATATTTAAAATAAATCTTTAATTTGAATTGCATTTCAAATCTGTACATTACTATGAAGTTAATACCTGCTTTAAGTTTTATGTAGTTTCCTTATTCATTATGCCATTTTAGACACATAAGTACTTTCTTGTTCACAAGATAATTGCAAATTGTTAATGTTAGTTATATTTTCCTCTTTTCAGATGAAGTTGGAGCCCTGGTCTTTGACATTGGGTCCTATACTGTGAGAGCTGGTTATGCTGGTGAGGACTGTCCCAAGGTCAGTGTAATGTTAGTTGAATAAATCAGGGCAGTTTCACTCTTGGGGTTAAAAACAGGCGAAATGTGATGTGTGACTTTCACAGGTGGATTTCCCCACGGCCATTGGTATGGTGTCAGAACGAGATGACGGAAGCACATTGATGGAGATAGATGGTGATAAAGGAAAACAAGGAGGCCCCACCTACTACATCGACACCAATGCCCTGCGTGTTCCAAGGGAGAACATGGATGCTATTTCACCTCTGAAAAATGGAATGGGTATGATACTTGTTTGCTCCTGTGGATTTGAATAAAAATATTGAGGGTGCATAGTGTGTTTTAGATTTAGAGCTGGGGCTTCTTATAAATTGAATATCAGATATTTTAAAATGTCCCACATACAAAATGTGCCAGGAACTGAGCGTACAGAGAAAGGCATGAGACGTGGTTGGGTGGGGAAAGTAGATGATTGCTCATACAGTATCGGTGAAGTCTGTACTCGTTCAGTCTGTGTGCAGTGTGCTACGGGGTTAAAGAGCAGGGGCGGTCAACGGCCATTGTGGGATGGTTTTCACAAAGGAGATCATCTTTATGCGGACTCTTTCCATTGTTATTACTGAAAAGATAGATTCTCAATTCAGCAGTTACTACATGTCCCATTTATTGACATTGATTACATTTTCAGGTTTTTTTTAAGTATGCTGAGATGATATTTTTTTCAATTCTTTTTATTTTTTTAATACTTTTATTGGGGGCTATTACATCTATCACAGTCCATACATTCCTCCAGTGTGTCAAGCACATTTGCACATATGCTGCCACATCATTTTCAAAGCATTTCTTCCCACTTGAGCCCTTCCCTCCCCCGCTCATTTTCAAAGCATTTTCTTCTCACTTGAGTCCCTCTCTCCCCCCGCTCACCCTCCCTCACGAACCCTTGATAAATTACAATTATTTTCATAGCTTACATCGATTGTCCTGTCGCCCCTCACCCACTTTTCCATTGTTCATCCTCCTGAAAGGGGGTTATAGGTTGATCATTTGATCGATTCCCTTTTTCTCCCCACACCCTCCCGAATCCTCCCGATAGCTCTACTCCCATTGTTGGCTCTGTGGGGTTTATCTATCCTGGATTCCCTGTGTTGTGGGCTTTTGTCTGTAGCAGTGTGGATGTTCTGGTCTAATCCGATTTGTAAGGTAGAACTGAGGTCATGATAGTGGGGGGAAGGAAGCAGCAAAGAACTAGAGGAAAGTTGTGTGCTTCATTGGTGCTATACTGTACCCTGACTGGCTTATTACTTCCCTGTGACCTCTCTATAGGGAGATGTCCAATTGTCTACAGATGGACATTGGGTCTTCACTCCATTCACTCCCCACACCCCATTCACCTGGGGTATGATTTTGTTCTGGGTCTTAGATGCTTGATACTTGATCCCATTGACAAGTTGTGGTCACACAGGCTGGTGTGCTTCTTCCATGTGGGCTTTGTTGCTTCTCAGCTAGATGGCCACTTGTTTATCTTCAAGCCTTTAAGACCCCAGATGCTATATCTTTTGATAACCAGGCACCATCAGCTTTCTTCACCACATTAACTTAGGCACTCATTTTGTGTATAGCGATTGCATCGGGTGGGTGAGCATTACAGAATGCCGGATTGTTAGAACAAAGTGTTCTTGTGTTGAGGGAGTACTTGAGTCGAGGCCCAATGTCCATCTGCGACCTTAATTCTTAACATACAGATATGAGTATGTTAGAAACCACCATTTGCTCCGAATGAGAAAGAGGGGGCTTTTCATTCTTGTAAAAAATTAGTCTCTGAAACTCACACGGACAGTTCTGTCTTGTCCTAAAGGATCATTGTGAGTCGGCATTGACTTGATGGCAGGGTTTTTGAGTTGACCTGTACAATTAAGTACTTTGTTATGAAATAGATGTGTAAAATAAGTAGGCTCTCATGTTAAAAAATACTAACTGCTAAGTCATAGAAGCAGTCGCTCAAAAGATGCTGTATTCCACAGGCATTGCTCTCAGTCTGTTAATCTTGCATTCTAGTGGAAGACTGGGATAGTTTCCAGGCTATTTTGGATCATACGTACAAAATGCATGTCAAATCAGAAGCCAGCCTGCATCCTGTTCTCATGTCAGAAGCACCGGTGAGACAGACTTTACTTCTCACTAGCGCATGTTTTTCCCCTTTAGTTTTCTGTTCATTTGCAGAGTGTGTCTGCTTTAAAGAGGCATAGGAATTTATATTTCAAATTTTGAGAATTGGGCAAAGGGGATTAATGAAAACTATTGTAATTTTCACTTTCTTTTAAATATGAGTTAAAAAAAAAAAAAACAAACCCAAACAATTAGAAGCCTTAGTGGATTTTAGTAGTACATCCTCCCCTCCCTTCCCCACCTCCCCTCAGCAGGGATTGGTTTAACATTTGATTTACTTTTGTGTGGACTGCTTCCCATTTACTTGGATTGTCTTGTGTCTGAGAGGCAATATATGTCTATTTTTAAACTCAAATCTCATGAGAGAAGTCAAATGTTACATTAGGACTTGAAATTGCCGCACTGAAATCTACTGTAAAATACATTAGGTACATTGATAAAATGGGCCCAGGAGACTAACAAAATGATTATAAATAATTATTTTGCTATTTTTCTGAGCTTTACTTGCTTGTACGAGTACCAGCTATATAAGTAGGGGGATTTGGTGGTTTAAAATTTTATTTTGGATTTTAATAGCCAAATAATCTTAGAATTTATTAGTATCTGATGTGTGGATTCTGATTTTCCTGTGGAACACTGAAAATTTTATGACGTCTGCAATTCATGGCAGCTGTTTTACTTGTGTTCAAATTATTATAAAATATTGTAAAAGTATTGTCATAATATTGTTTTTTAATATTTTGCATCTTTGTTAAAGATAGTGTTACAATAAATATTTTAAATAACTCAGCATTTTAATATTAAAACAACAAATAACTCGCATTTCTTTTTTCCTCTTCAGTGGAATACTAGAGCAAAGAGAGAGAAATTAACAGAGTTAATGTTTGAACACTACAACATCCCTGCATTCTTCCTTTGCAAAACGGCAGTTTTGACAGCGTATCCTTCAAAGAGTGACACTTTTCTCTAGAAGTAAATATAAATGCAAACCGCTGTCATTGAGTGTATTCCAACTACAGCGGCCCTCCCTAAGGTTTCTGAGACTGAAAGTCTTTGTGGGAACAGATATCTTTATCTTTCTCCTCTGCAGTGGCTGGTGGTTTTGAACTGCTGACCTTGTAGTTCAGAGCCCAACACTCACCCCAGAGCATCCCTAGAGTTCTTCAGAAGTAAATATGCTGCTACTACACATGATAACCAGCAGGAGGACATGAGTCAGTTCTTGGTTTTTCCTAGGTGGTTTTTGTTTCTCATTTGATTGTTTTGCTAACCATCTTTTAGAATTTCTTATTAATAGTAACACATCAGAAGATATGGGAGGGAAATAGGAAAGTAACACTCAACTCTTATAATAAATTCAAAGTTGTTGTATTTTTAATTAATCATTTTCTTGGGGGCTCTTACTAATCTTTTAACAATCATTCAGTTGTATTAAGCACACTTGTACATACATTTCCATCAACATTTCCAAAATATTTTTTCTACTTAGCCCTTGGTGAAAAGCTCCTCTTTTCAAAGTTTGGTGTTATTGAAGAATGAAAAAAGGGTAGTCTTTAAACTGATTGGCTAAAAATGAGTTCAGATTGTCATTATCTCATACCCTCCAATACTATTGAAAATTGACAGCAAATTCATTAAAGATTTAATCACTAGATCTTTCCTGCAAGCTTACCAAGGGACAGACAAGGAAATACTGTGTACTGACCTCAAAGAATAAATAGCAAAGTGTAGTCCTCAATTTACAGTGGGATTTCATTCCAATGACGGCCATAAGTTGTTCTCTGTCATAAGTCAAGTACATGTTTTTTTATTTTTATTTATGCTTTTTATTATCAGCATCCTTATAAATCATCTTTATTTGTCTTTGGGGGCTGGCATGAGAATGCTAACATAAATATACACTGCAATACATATTGCTAATGATACGTGTGCACACAAAATGGATAAAGTCTTCCATATTCAGGGTTCAGCCCACCTAGAATAACATTTTTACTTCATTGAGTTGAGAGATGGGGGCTACCTCTTGGCTGTCAAACAATTGATAACACTTTGCTGCTGTGAGAGTGGTGAGGGAAGAGTTGTAGTTCCAGAACATGCACCGTGGCCTCCCACTATTAGTTTCCATAGATTTTTGTCAAATATATGCTTCTCCATTTGTTGTAAGTCCTTTGAGCAATTTCCAGAAACGGAAGGGTTGTGCTAGTTTGGGCCAGCTAACTCGATGTCTCCTTGAAAGGTTTTCCTAAGCAACTTGCTATCTTGCTGGCAGTTCTGCCTCTTGTGATTCATTTTCAAACCTGAATTACTATTGCATACCAATTGTCCCTTCTAAATTTACCTTACTACATTCTAAATTATAAAGCACAGTTTTAGAATGACTTGTAATTGTGGTAAGAGCCTGTCCTTTACAAGACGTATAATATTTTAGGAACCTTTTCCTTAATACTTTATACTAGATTTGCTAATGGTCGTTCAACTGGGCTGATTTTGGACAGTGGGGCCACTCATACAACTGCAATTCCAGTCCACGACGGCTACGTCCTTCAGCAAGGTAAACGTACTCACTTAGGCAGGCATGCTGACACCACTCTGGATGTCATGGTGACGTCGTGCCGTAAAGCACTGGGTTGGACTTCTGAAGATTAGCTATTGCCAAATGGCTTTTTAAAAAATATTTTAAAATACTTCAGTATATAATGTGTATCTAAAACTGATTTGTGCTGAGAAGTATAACTTCATGCTTTAAGGGATAGCTTCGTTAATTATACTTGGGGAAAAAATGACCTATCAGCATCACACAGGAAATTTATCCCAAGGATTCTGAACTTAATGTTCCTTACCCCTATTTAATCTGTGTCATAGGCATTGTGAAATCCCCTCTTGCTGGAGACTTTATCACTATGCAATGCAGAGAACTCTTCCAAGAAATGAATATAGAATTGATCCCTCCATATATGATTGCATCAAAAGTAAGTAATGGTTGGATTTTCTTGTAGAATAGTTCTCCAGCCTCTCACCCCCATGCTGTGGATTTTATTAACCTAGTTCATGCGTTTTATAACCTCAGGAAGCTGTCCGTGAAGGCTCTCCAGCAAACTGGAAAAGAAAAGAGAAGTTGCCACAGGTTACACGGTCTTGGCACAATTACATGTGTAATGTAAGTAACCCTCATTCTCTCCAAGGGAATAAAAATAGAACTAGAGGCTTTATGTGGTCTATAATATTTTAAAAATAAAAATTTAAATCAGCTAATTTAGAATGCTTTTCATATTGATGAATACCTTTACAAGCAGCTCATTATGGAACACTAGAGTGACACCTGGCAGGGGTTTGGGTTTTGGAGTAGAGAGAAGCACTATGCTAATGTATAATAACATTGATCTCCCCCCCTCCCCCCCTAATATGGTGTTGCTTTCTGTAGAGATGTGCTATCCTGGCTCAAATGTGTACTCTCTCCTAACCATATGAAGTGCACATGATTGCACATAGCCAGGAGAATCTCTTTACTGAGTTCTGCCAGTGGGCATATGATTTACTGTCAGGGAAAGGAGCTAATAAAGCCACTTCACACACGATAATAGATATACATTGATTTCTAATAACAAAAATATATGAAAGTTATCATTATGGCAGGAATAGCTTATTTGACATTTTTCTTTTTTTTTTTTTTTTGCCCTTAAAGAGAAAGATTTTCATGGGCATTAGACAAGGAAAAATTGTGAAGATGATTTAAGAATTTGTCTGGATTTTAGATTTTTCCTTAGCAACCCATGAGTCAAGTATGTATTTCACAGCAAAATTATGTCACTAAAAGTTGATTGTGATATATAGATACAACTGTATTCTCAAATGCTGCTTTTAAGTATAAGCTTAGGGAAAACTATTTGTAACTGTTTTTGTTATGTAGTACAGGGTTCCCAATCACTTAATCTATTGTTCAGTCACTCTTGCAGTTTAAATAGAATTCATTATCTAACACAAATGTTCAGAATATGGTTTCTGGATACTCAAGCGCTTTGAGTCCTTGCTGGATAGATTTGTACTCAGGAAGTGGTTTACTCACCCAGAAATGTAGCCTCCTTTCATTTAGAAAACCATGTTAAATAGTTTTATAAAAATAAAGCTCAATAATTTTTTTTTCTTAATCTAGTGTGTTATCCAGGATTTTCAAGCCTCAGTACTTCAAGTATCAGATTCAACTTATGATGAACAGTATGTTTTCCTATTATTTTTGTCTAAATGACTTATAAGTAGTGCATTAAGACCTTCATACTAATCTTCTAAAAAACTATATTCTTCAGAAACTAACATTTTTTATTTCTGTTAAAAGATGTACTCATGATTTTCAAGAGGATAGAAATGATTTCTTTATTTAGCTAAAACAAAAATTAGAATTGTAGAATGTGCTTTATTGACTCTAGAGGTATAAAATTATGCTAAGATATTGACTATTTTAAAATAGAATACTTTTTTTTTGCAATTTCTTTTTTAAAATGCTTTTCCTGGGAGCTCTTATATCTCTTCACGATCCATACATTCCTCCAATGTGTCAAGCACATTTGCATATATGCTGCCATCATCATTTTCAAAGCATTCTCTTCCCACTTGAGCCCCTGATATCATCTCCCCGTTTCTTCCTCAACCCCCCCCCCAACCTTCCCTCCCTCCTGAACCCTTAATAAGTTATAGATTTTTTTCCCATATCTTACATTGTCCTCCATCGCCCCTCACCGACTTTTCTGTTATTCATCCCCCTGGGGGTGTGGGTGGTCCTAGGTTGAGCCTTGTGATTGATGCCCCCTTTCTTCTCCCACCCTCCTCCAATCCTCCTGGTAGCTCTCTCTACTCTCCTTGTTGGCCCTGAGGGGTTTATCTATCCTGGAATTCCTATGTTTCAGGCTCTTAATTGTAGCAGTGTGCATGCTTTTGTCTAATCCGATTTATAAGGTAGAATTGAGGTCATGATAGTGGGGGGAAAGAAGCACCAACGAGCTAGAGGAAAGTTGTGTGTTTCATCGGTGCTGTGCTGCACCTTGACTGGCTCGTCTCTTCCCTATAACCCCTCTGTGAGGGGATGTCCAATTGCCTACTGATGGGCTAAGGATCTTTATTCCATGCCACCACCACCACCCCCAATTCACCTTGGGTATGGTTTTATTCTGGGTCTTAGATGCCTGATACCTGATCCCATCGACACCTCGTGATCACACAGGCTGGTGTGCTTCTTCCATGTGGGCTTTGTTGCTTCAAATAAAATATTCTTACTCTGATTTTTTTCTGAGCTATGATTTCTTGGTTGTTGATAACTTTGAAGAGGAGTCTCTTTGATTTCAAGTTGTTTCATGTGTTTTCAGAGTAGCTGCACAGATGCCAACAGTTCATTATGAATTCCCCAACGGTTACAACTGTGATTTTGGTGCAGAAAGGCTAAAGATTCCTGAAGGATTATTTGACCCTTCCAATGTAAAGGTATAAAAGCTTAGTTCTTAATTAGCCTGCTTTTCCAGTATAAGTTAAAGACCTTATGCAATTATTAACCAGCGGGAGACTCACCACATTTTTAAAAAATCTGCTTTATTGTGTGATATTCTTCCATTTGCCTGCTCGTGTGATGTTCTTACATGTGCCACTCATTGTATTTTGTTGTAGGGCTTATCAGGAAATACAATGCTGGGAGTCAGTCATGTTGTCACGACAAGCGTTGGAATGTGTGATATTGATATCAGACCAGTAAGTGCCATTATAAGTATCTTTCATGACAGTGAAGTGCCCTAAAATGATGTTGGCAGCTGTGAACTTCATTGGGTTTCAAGTCCATTTTATAACAGAATATGTAAAACGGTGACATAGAAGACAGACATGAATAAAAATGAGTTCTAAAGCATTTTGCAGCACGAATGAAATAGTGGGACAGTCACAAAAAGACAAATATTATAGATGTCAGCTTTATGGGGTGATAAGAAAGTTGACAGCGACCATTACTGAATGGTTGTTACCAGAGATGAGGAGAGGAGATTCCATTTTCTAGAGGTCAGGAAACTGGCTCACAAGTCATATGCAGCTCTTTCCAGTGTGTGTATGTAGCTCTGAGGTAAAATTGAAAACATTTAAAGGATATTATTCAGATAATGGTGGTTTCATGTTTTGTAAAAATGTTTATGGCTTTCAAATCATTTTTACATTGTTGTGAAGGACAGGATTGGTTCTTCTGTCCCAAGAGTTTGTTGACACTGCCCTCCACCCCCATATTCAACACCTCTAGATAGTAGTCACTTTTTGTTTATAGCAAGAAGAAAGATATCACTGACTATGGGTGAAGGGTATCCAGCCTGACTGATGCCACTAAGCACCATGCAACAAAAATGATGGAATGGTAAATGCTACTGCTATCTTGCAACAGCCCCCGTGTGTGTGTGTGTGTGTGTGTGTGTGTGTGTGTGTGTGTGTGTGTGTGTGTGAGAGAGAGAGAGAGAGAGAGAGACACACACACACGTGCGGGCAGGCTGTAGATGCTGTTTCTTCATTCATTATACGACCTATTACCTCACAGAATTATTTTCTTGACGACTCAGGGTCAGCTGTCTTGTGGGATAGTGCGGTCAGTTGGCATAATGTTAAGTCATCAGGTTTATGTTCTATGACCTAGTTTGGTGAGTAGTGTCTGGGGTCTTCAAAGAGGGCAGGCATCCATCTAACACGCAACTGTTACTCTACTCATCCGAAGCAACAGAAAGATGGAAATAAACTCAAGAATCGGAGAAGGAAGTGTGTCTTCAAGAACCAGGGCCTGTGCTACCTGGGGCCTAGACACCGATGGTGCCTTCCCAGCACTACTGTCAGGCTCAGACTAGAGGGGTCCTGGTCGAAAGGGAGGAAAATGCAGATGAGAACTTCAAATGAATGAAAAATCTAGACTTGGTGGACTGTTGACACCGTCACCTTTGAGCACCATACCTTTAAAGACATTACATGAGATGAGCTCATCACCGAGACTCTGAAGCGTGGATGGAGGGGGCGGGCAGTGAGACTGCGTTCATGGAATTGGAACAGCTCGATGGAACTGAGGATGTTGCCATCGTGTGACAAATGTAACCAGTGTCCCTGAACAAAATGTAGCTCCTGTTGAATGCAAACCTGTTACTGTGCATTTTGCCAAAATGTAATAGAGTGTAACCAAGTAAAGAAACAATACTAGAAAAGGCTTAGGTGTAAAGTCTTTTCAGACCTGTGCAGTGTGGTAGTCCCATGTGCCTATTTAATTAAGATAACAAAATTTTAAGTTGTGTTTCTTCAGTCACATTACCCATGTTATAACTATGGCTAGTGGCTAATAGATTGGATAACACAGGTAAAGAACAATTCCATCACAGAAAATTCTATTGGACATTGAGTGCTGTTCTAGAGGTTGTCCTAAAATGTGATAAATCGAAATACTTATTGGTGATTTTTCTTTCCTTTTAATCATTTTATCGGGTGCTCGTACAACTCTCATCACCATCCATCCGTCCATTGTGTCAAGCACATTTGTATATATGTTGCCATCATTTTCAAAACATTTTCTTGCTACTTGAGCCCTTGGTACCAGTTTCTCTTTTTTTTCCCTCCCTCCCTCATGAACCCTTGATTATAATTTTTCATGTCTCCGTTCACCCACTTTTCTGTTGTCCGTCCCCTTGGGAGGGGATTGTATGTAGATCATTGTGATCGGTTCCCCTTTTCTACCCCCATCTTCCCCTTACTCTCTTAGTATCACTACTCAATATTGGTCCTGAGGGGTTTATCTGTCCTGGGTTCCTTGTGTTTCCAGCTCTTGTCTATACCCGTGTACATGCTCTGGTCTACCTAGATTTGTAAGGTAGAATTTGGGTCATGATAGCGGTGGGGGGCGGAGGATGGAAACATTAAAGAACTAGAGGAAAGTTGTATGTTTCATCAGTGATATATTGCACCCTGACTGGTTCATCTCCTCCCCATGACCCTTCTATAAGGGGATGTCCAATTGGCTATAGATGAGCTTTGGGTCTCCACTCCGCACTCCCTCTCATTCACAATATGATTTTTTGTTCTGGGTTTTTGATGCCTGATACCTGATCTTATCGACACCTCATGATCACACAGACTGGTGTGCTGCTTCCATGTGGGCTTTGTTGCTTCTCACCTAGATGGCCGCTTATTTATCTTCAAGCCTTTAAGACCCTATTGGCGATTTTTCATGAGGAATAATTTTATTACCTTGTTTTTCAGCGAGATGTGCCTTAAAGTATGAGTAATTTTACATGAACTTTATCTTAAGTGAGCTCACCATCAGGTTTTAAATACTGATGTGTATTGTGCTTATTAGATAATTTCTTAAACTTTACATTCAGCTTGCAGTCCTGCACACTGCCTTAGTTTTTCTTTGATTTGTTTGCTTAAAGCATAGGGTGTATGTGTGTGATTTCATTGTTCATAATGGGTAGCTACACATAGCGTTCTTTATTTCAGTCAGTACCTACCAGACGTGTTTGGGGAAGTGCGAGTGTGCTCTCAGAGCCTTTTTGTGCAAATCCAAAGCCACAGTTGGGACATTACAATTGGAATTAAAAGATAATTGAATTTTTTCATGACATTTTTGAAGTCCCCCTCTCCCTCCTATTGTCTATGAGGAAGTGCGATAACTTTCCTGTTAAGCATGAACATTTTCCTTTAACTATTATGGATTGTAGAGATATGTTTATATTCATGCCAGTTGTTTGAAAATTTGGATGGTTCAGATATTTGGAGTATGTTTTTAATATGAACTTAGCTACTGAAAAGGCAGGCTGACATTTAACGTTCTGATGCACACATGCAAGTCAGAGAGACAGGCACTCCTTATAAATAGGAGTCTATGTTTCATGTGCAGAGGCCACAGCAGTGTATTTTGCAAAAGTTCCCTATGTGGTTCTGATGCAAAAGGGCAAGGCAGCCAACATTTTGGCAGGAATACATGACGCAGTAGATGGATGCCATGTCATTGTCCGTTGTAATTAGAAAATAATCTCGTAGTGTAATTTAAAATAGTGTAACATTCAGATGAGTAATGAAGTCATTATAAAATGTGCTACTACCTAATTAAGTACTGCCAGCCATCTGCCAGCAGATTAGGATTGGATTTTAGAATAATTATTTTAAGTTGGTGATTCGTAAACCTTAGTGTACGCTAGATTCATCTGACGAGCTTTAAGACAAGCATTGCGTCAGATGTCATCTCTGGAGGTTTTTATGCCATCAGACCCAGGTGTTAGTGCTTTGGAAGCTCCCTAGATGAGCCTACTAGGCAGTCAGGATTGGAACCTGTATACAAGGAGGCTTGATCGTCAGTTCATGAAAAAATGGAGTAAAAAATAATGGAATTTTCTCACAAATTTTTTGAAGCTCATTATAGAAGTAAAACTTTGAAAGAAGGGAAAATTGTACAAGACGTTGATTTATTTGGAGGTGTATTTAAAACTCAGAAGCATTTGGAAGTAATTTCGTTTTCTTGCTCTTTATCCTAGGGTTTGTATGGCAGCGTGATCGTGGCAGGAGGAAACACGCTCATCCAGAGCTTCACTGACAGGTTGAATAGGGAGCTCTCTCAGAAAACGCCCCCAGTAAGTTGTTTTTCTGTAGTCTGCAGTCATGTGTATCCTCACTGGCGGCATAATTTTACATATAAGGGTTCATTTTAAATAGGCGAATAGTTGTACAGTATAATGATGTAACGTTAATAGCCCTAATTGTATCAGATTTTCCTCGATGACATCCATTGGTTATCCTTGTACTATTTAAACTTCATTTTATCCAGCGATGCCACCTGTGCACTAGAATGTTTAGACATGCAAACAAATACTGGCTAGAATGTGCTACGTGCTTCAGTACTGTGTGACCTGGGTGTTCTTGGGAACTCTGGGAACCAAGCACGTAGCTCCCTGACAGTATTAGAAAGTTTTCATGAAAAAAAGTCTTTTGCGTCGGACAGGGCAAGATATGACAAAATACCTATAAACTATCAAGGGCTCATGCGGGAGGGGGGAGCAGGGAGGGAGGGGAAAAATGAGGACCTAATGTCGGGGGTTTAAATGGAGAGAAAATGTTTTGATAAACGATGTACAAAGGCGCTTTACACAATTGATGTGTGTATGGATTGGGATAACAGTTGTATGAGCCCCTAATAAAATGTTAAAAAAAAAAAAAAAAAGCACAAGGCTAAAAAGAAAATACAGCCAGGAAGATTGCACCAAGGATTTTTTTTCTTTTTACAGTTTGTATTTGTTATTTATTTTTAATAAAGCATTCTACTGGGGGCTCTTACAAAGAAAAAAAGAAAGAAAGAAAAAAAGTCTTTTGAAGTAATGAAGGGGAGTTTCAGCTGGTTGGTAGTTTAATCAAAGAACATCCAGGCAAAAAGTATGAACTGAAGGAGCTATTTTTCAGTAATTCAGTCGTTGGCTAATACTTTGGGTCTTCAAAAAGTTCGTGGAAAGACTCCAGTTTTCCATGAAGACCTCGAAGCTCCTTCAAAGTTTGCTTTGGGGAAGTAGGGAGAGCAGTACGGCCGGAACAGTGCATTGAGTACTAGGTCATGTCTCACAGAGCTGTCTGGGTTTTATCTAAAGCTACAGCAGACATAGACTGAAATTTGACAAAGGGCTGATAAGCCTGTACAGTTCATCACTGATGGTGCAATAGGATAACTATGTTTTAATAATTTCTAATCTAAACAGATGAAAGAACCTAGTTTGGGGTAGAAAAACAAAACTCATGGCCAATGGTGACCCGATAGGATAGGATAGGATAGGCTAGAACTGCCTCTGTGGGTTTCTGAGACTGAAACTCTACAGGAGTAGAAAGTCTGTCTCCAGAGGAGCAGCTGGTGGTTTTGAACTGCTGACCTTTGCAGATCACAGCCCAACGAGTAACCACTATACCACTAGGGCTCCTTTGGGATAGAAGGGCAATTTATCTAGTACACCAGTACTAGAGAGGCAGGCAGAACTATTGAATTTCAAAATTTCTGTCAAATCAAGTATAAGGCATTCTACACTAAATGCTAAGTTTTAAACAGGTACATAAATAGATATAGGTATACTTAACAGTATCTATAGTATTTATATTTAATAGTCTTTGAGCTTCCCATATAGAGAAATAATTTATGTATGTTATTTTTTGAAACTTTCCTGGTTGTGTAGTAGTTAAGCATTGGGCTACTAAGCACAGGTTCAAACCACCAGCCACTCTTGAGGTAGGAACACTTGGCTTTCTATTTGCCTAAAGAGTTACAGTTTGCCCTGCCCTGTAGAGTTGTTGAGTCAGAATTGACTTAATGGCAGTGAGTGAGTGTACTAATGGTACCAGCATAACAGTGACAACTGCCTCCTGTTGACTATCTCTTTGGAGATAAAATCTGTTCTCGAGCATGGCAGGATGACAGTACTGATGTGAAATTTCATGGAGTGGCTCTGAATCATGAATAGATGTAGGCTGTCCAGGGCACTGCTCAAGACCAGTTTGACGCTGACTTTGCCCTTAAACAACAACAATGAAATAGCAAGTACAGGAAAACTCCCAGTTCGTTACTTCGAAAAGCCCACAGACTCAAACTGTGTATATAAAGAAACTGCGAAGTATCAGCATGAAAACCACCCTCATGGAAAAATACCTAGATTGGGGGGTTTAGGGGAACAGGACAACACAATATATAGGAAGTGAGATAGATTGGCCATATTATTGTTTAAAGTACGGATTTAAAGCAAACACATTAATTTGGAAAGAAAACAGTCATGTATAAAACTTAATCTGAGGTCTGATGATTAGATTGACTTGGGTGGAAGGGGGTGGACTGTAGGGAAGAGGGTCCAATAAGGCACTAAAGAGGAGGGATCAGGGTAGCATGAAGGCCTAGAAAGAGGCGATTGAAAGTGTGGGGCGGACACGACCGAAAGGGAGGGAGGACAGTACCAATCATTATACTCTCAAGGGTTGAAATGAAGTAATGTTTAAAGTATTCGGCATAGTTTTTTACTTCTAGGAACATTACGTATGTGGAAGAGATCCACATTTGTGCCCATTTCAAAACAAGTGATCCAACAGTATGGAAATTACTGAATAATATCAATAACAACACGCACAAGTAAAGCTTTGTTGAAGGTAATTCAGAAATATTTGTAGCAGAACATTGACAAGCAAATATAGACCCAAATTGAGCAACACTTGTGAGGGGGTGGCACAGACCCAGGCAGTTTTTCATTTTGTTGTCCGAGGAGGCTTCAAAAAGTTCAAGGAAAATGAAGTTCAAAGATAATGGAATTCTTCCACAACCTTCTTGAAGCCCCTTTTTATAAAACAGGGTTGCTATGAGTTTGAACCAACTTGATGGCAAGTAGCAACAATGTCCGTGTTTACTGTTATAACATAAACTATGAATGTCATAATTATTAGTATGCTTTTCTCAAAGTTTAAAATTTTTCTTACCACATACATTAAAACCTATAATCAAAGTACTTAAAATATGGTAGTCCTAATCTATGTCTACTATTAGTCCATATTATCTCCACAAAAAGTAGACATCCTAAATTGAGTCACCTGTTTTGAGTGTAGTAATAACACTTTTTCTTCGTTCTCTACTTTTAGAGCATGCGGTTGAAACTGATTGCAAATAATACAACTGTGGAGCGGAGGTTCAGTTCCTGGATCGGTGGTTCCATTCTAGCTTCTTTGGTTAGTAGATGAGCTACTCTGCAAACCGTTTAAGAACCTTACTTAATGGTTTCACTTTGTTACATGTGTCTGTAAAAACAGTCCCCGTGTATCATTTATCTCTACTGTAACTTGTGTGAGTGGAAGTCTAGGAAGAGTACCAGTTTGACCTGGTCTACCATGACTAGAAGGAGTCCCGGTGGCAATGTGCTTAGTGCTTGGCTGCTGGCCGCTGGGTGATTTGAAACTCCCTAGTGCAGGGGTCCTCAAACTTTTTAAACAGAGGGCCAGTTCACTGTCCCTCAGACACATTGGAGGGCTGGACTATAGTTTTAAAAAAAACTATGAACAAAAACCTATGCACACTGCATATATCTTATTTTGAAGTGAAAAACAAAACTGGCCCAAAACACCCGATGACCTGGATAAATACCCTCACCGGGCCGCATGTGGCCCGCGGGCCATAGTTTGAGGACCCCTGCGCCTAGTGGCTCCACAGGATAAATATCGTCCCCCAGAAAGATGACAATCTAGGAAGTCACATGGGACAGTTCTGCTGGGTGGAAATTGACTGGATGCCATGTCACGATATAACAAATGCCTCCCTCACACCACAGCTTTCTTGGTAAGTATTAGCTAGCCTAATTTCACCGTCTCTTCTCAAATAGACGTGGAAATCTGTTAGGATAACCAGCTCATTTTGGTACTGGTTAGGACGTAACTGCAGCACCTGGAAAATGACATCATTCTTTCGTGCGTTCTCGCTGCTCCTGGCCTGTTGGTGAGGAAGAGGGAGGAGACAGGAGTGGACACCGGACTGCTGGTCATGGTCTTGGTGCTGTTCAGACGGTGCTGGTCTTGGATCCAGAAGAAAAGCCCTTGTACTGCAGCTCACACCTCGCTCCCCTTCCCTTCAAAGCAGCCAAAGGAAATAGCACCAAGAACTTAGGTTAAAGATTTTACGGCTGTTAACTGTTTGTAGCTTTTTTTAAGTGGTGCTATTTACTGTTCACTTATATATTATCTGTGATCTATTTTCACCTCTTAATAAGATCGGAGATCTAAAGATTTTATATGTGAATCTGTATGAACTAAAAAGTTGGAAGGGAATGGATTTCTCTTACATTCCTATCACTATTATTCAGGTTCCTTCCTTCTCTGGTCCTCTCCCCTCCACCAGGATGTATGAGATGTACATTGTCTGTAAACGGTTACATGTGGGCTTGCAAAGCTTCATCCTAGTTTTACCAAACACACTCTAGCTCTAAATGTTAACCATCCATCAATCCAGTGCTAGAACATCTTTTCGATGTTGTAACTTCCAACAATCTCTCTGGTTGCCTTAGGCTGGCACCACACCATCCCACCAAACATCCTAGTCTTCTTTGTCATAAAAGACAAAATATTTCCTCATAAGGAATAATCATTTTTAATTTTCCTTTCCATTTATAGGGCACCTTTCAACAAATGTGGATTTCCAAACAAGAGTATGAAGAGGGAGGGAAGCAGTGTGTGGAAAGGAAATGCCCATGAAGAGTTTCCAAGCCTCCACCTTCTGTGTCACCTTCCGTTTCATAGCTTTAGTAAACTCAGGAAAAGAATGACCATCTTTTGTAGAAAATTTATACATTTTTGCATATTTCAATTTCCACTGCAATTTTTTAAGGCTTTAACTTGCTCTATAAATTAAAATGAGTTTGTGCTTTCCTTGAGATGCACTTATTCTTATTACAAGCATTTTATAATTTTGTATAAATATCTATTTTCTCTAAATATTTTGCTTTCAGTAAAATGCTTTCCAACTCTGTTTAGTATATTAATTATAAGTGGATTGGTAGAATTGCTTTTTATTGACTAGTAAAACTTACTGCCTATGCTTTTTATCTCAGGCTTGCAAAGTTAAATAAAAATGACTAGCCATTCCAGAAACAGTTCTATGATGTTGTGTGTTACAATTGCCTTTTTAAACAGGAAATGCATTTATCATTTTGACTGAAATAATCCAGTATCCAGATCTCTCTCACATCCTTTTAAGAATCACAAAAAAACACTTTCATGTTGATGTTAAAACTGACATCACTTTCTCACTCAGCAGGCCATATTAAAATTGGCTTAGGTGTTAGAATCTATAAAATGGTAATTTAGTCTGAATGCTGCACCTTATTTTTGAAGAAGCAAGACCACTGGAATTATAGAATTATTAGCATGCCATATTTAACACTTAGAACAAAGGATAAACATAGTCATTGCTTGAAAACAAAACCCAAACCATTTCTTTATAAACCACTTACTATATATTTACTTTGTATACAGACCATTACTCATGAAAAACAAAATGGGAAGTCTTCACAGATCTCCGGCAGTGCTTGACTTCTGGGCTTCAGAAAGATGTGGAAACCTTTCCTGAAGAGATTTTTCTTTCTTTTTCATTAAGCTTTTCTTCCTGGCTTGACTGCGGGCATACTTCTCAAGTCTCAGCCTGGAATTAAAACAAAGCATAATACAATTGGTACAAAACTATTTCCCAGTTGACACCATTAAAAATGTGCCAATTATATTAAAGCTGTAATCATATGCCAACCTCTATGTGGTGTCATGTATATTATGAAACATGAATAACAGGGCTGTACATACAAGGTCATGTACAAAATCACCTGAAACGCCACACTATCCTCCCCATTTCCTCACTGCAAAGAATTCCCAAGACCTTCAATTTCCTCCTGCTATGACGAAGGCTTTTTGCCTTATTTTGGAAGCACTAGTACTGAATACACTAGGAGCCTGACGTCCTGAGACCACTGTGCTTCCCCAATTTCAACAGCATGTGGTTACTTCTCTATAATACAGTAAGCCAGGCTGAGACAATGCCCAGCAACTAGTTAAGACGTGACCTTGCTCCCCCATATCAGTGTCCCACAGTGTGACAAATTTGTCTTGGCTAAATTAGGCCGAAGACCCTGGAGTCACTTGGAAATTACCAGATTTTCAAATAATTTCATGGATGCCATGCCTCTATTAAAATGGATAATTTAAAGGATAGTTTATAGATCAGTAGGTCCAAATTTATAATAGAAATAATACAATTAAAGACATTCTGAATACAACAGGCCAATGCTCTGAGGAAAGTCAGAGTTCTGGTTGACTAAAGACCAAAACACAGGAAGCAGGAGCTAGCCCACATGAGATGGCCATCACTGCTCCAACTGATCTGTCATTTACCCAACGACTGAAGGGAGCAGACTTCTAAAGAGCATTCAGATTATGCTGCGTGGTATGAAGGTAGGGTTTTAAAATGTAGTTTCAGAATAACACTCTAGCGCCTATTAAGGTGGCACTTTGGTAAATGGCCATGTGTTATTTTAAATGTCCTGTTAGACTAAGGGGCAAACAAGGATCAAAGGGCACAACTTGAAGCTTGGAGAAAACTGCAGTTAAGTTTCGTCAACTGCTTTAGCATCTAAACAACCTAAAATGTGATCGGCTAGCAAAATTTCAAAATACAGAAAAAGGATTGATTGAATCGAGATGTGGGAATGAAAAAATCCTGATGGTCAGTGGCACAAAGGATGGACACATTTTAACTGGAAAGCGGAGAGGTAACTGCCTTGGGGAAGATGAAAATTTTAGATTATGAATCTAAGTTGGCCTCTCTCGGGTGGTGAGGGGATGAGTTTTTGAACTGCTTTTGCTGCTAAGGCCGTTGTTAGAAGCTGTGGCTCTGGTGGCACGGGGGCTTCCCCTTCAAGTTTCCAGCTGCCCTGACTTCTGATCTCAGCCTCCTTTAGCTAATTACCTTGTAGCTCTCAGACCCCTTTGTCATGTTCTGCACTCAGAATGGGGCGAGCAGGACCCTTCGGCCAGGACACCACAAACTTGAAATTTCTTCCCTATCCACTTATAGTTTGGGGGACCAGAGTTCTCAAATCCAGAAAATGTGCAAGGTTTGAGATCTAAAAATTACACAGCCAAGTCTAAGAAGTAGCTTTTTAAAATCCTGAAAATACATTTCTTGACATTTTAAAATAAAAATATAGGATACAGGAAGGAGAAATGAAAAAAGCTGTCTTAAGAAAAATGTTTCAAAAATAAAGTCTGATAAGAGGAAAAAATATGCAAAGTAATTGAGTCACGGATAAGTGACTCAAAGGGTTAAAAAAAAAATAACCCAAACAAGTCTGTTTACAGCTTTATGTAAAATAGCTCCAAACTGGAAATAGCCCAAAAGTTCATTAACAGAAGAACAGAAAAACTTGGTCGATTAATGCCATAGAACATCGCTCAGAAATGGTGAAAATGATACACTCTACAACTAGTGAAAATTACACAGATAAAACAAAGGTGGCTGAACATAAAAGCAAAAAACGATGGTTTAATTTGTATGAAGGTAGAGGGGATGAGTAGAAAGGGGGCACCAGAGAAGGTCTGGGAGTGAGGGGATGTTATTTAGTTGGATCTCTCGATGCCACTGAGTCAATTCTGACTTGTGGGTTCGTTTGGGGTATGAAGTCCTCAAAACACCACATTCATGGCATTTTACTGTATGCAAATCTGACCTCGGGAAGATGATCACTTCCCCACAAAACAACTTTACTAGTTGAGGGGGGTGCAGAGCTGAGGCTCACATTTATTTAAGGATTTAAGAAATATTTTCACTTTGCTTCTTGCCTGAGTGTAAGCACACGAAGTGCACCATACGCATCTATCACGACGCTGTGTGTCCACACACAGTAACTTGCACTAGCTCGTTCGGAGCCCCAGCCGCTCTTCACCGCACATTATAGAAATCCATCTAAGACTCAGAGGATCCCCGAAGGATTTCTGGTGACCAATGGGGAAGAATTAACCGTGTAAGTACCTCTAAATTCCAGTGTCTTCAGGACCTTCCATCAGATATATAAAATCATACAACAATTCTATTCCTGTGTAGGCCAAAGACCACTTTCCATCTTTTTTAATAAGAGGTGAGACATACCACAAAGCATTGATGGTGATAAATTAAAGCCTGGAACTCAACTCTATAACCACTAATAAAAGGGGACTGATGAAAATAATTTTTGCAACACAAACAGAACTAAATGCACGCATAAAAAATGACAAATGTTCAGGATCGAGTAACAAAAAAGTGAATTCAAAGCCAGCAGATCCAGTTTTTTTGTTTGAAATAAAATAACGCCCTATAGTAATGCACAGCCCAGGATAATCAATCCAGAAATATGTCCACAGGTTCCTCTTTTCCCAGCCCTTCATTTCATTAACCTTATAATAACAAGAGCTCACACGGTGTGTAATTAAAGTATGTGGCCTCTCATTTTAACATTACAGTAGGGCTTTTACCATCTAGATAGCTACAGACTATAGAAAGGCAGTCACACTTTGGAAAGGATGTCTACCTATCCACCTGAGGACTAACAGTGGCTATTTTCTGGGTGGTGAGATAGCACTTTTTTTTTTTTTAACCAGACTTTAACATTTTTTCAAAATTATCATGCATTACTCACAGTCTCAGAGATATCAGCATTCAAAGAAAGCTTAGTATGCCTGTCATCTGTTGTAGAGATGATGTGCTTCTTTGGAAACAATCACTGTACTCACCTGTTAAAACGGTCCACATATGGCATTGCGAAGAACCGTTTCCTGTTGTATCGTTTATTGAGGTACCAAGGTAGAGGCCACTGCTTAAACTTGTGCCTGCCAAGAAAGCAGAGTTGTTACTTTATAGAAAACATTTCATTTTCACTTTTTGCAAGCAACCTTCTTTGGGCTAAATTTCTTCAGGAAAATGAGATATCTTTTAACAGATTCAAGATTTTTTCCCCCTAGTTTTAAATTAAGAAATAACTACACTTAGTAAAAAGCAGAGATTACATTACAGACATTCATGATGAATACACCACAAAATTGCACAGATGTTAATATTTCCTATCTTTCCACCAGATAACTCTTTAAAATTATTAAAGTAGCCTCTAGCATTTATTATTATTACGTTCTTTTTTAACAGAAAAAAAATGTAGATATATTTTTAAATCATTTTTCGGGGCTAGTACAACTCATCACAATTCATACATCCATTCATTGTGTAAAACACATTTGTACATTTGTTGCCATCATCATTCTCAAAACATTTTCTTTCTACGTGAGCCCTTGGTATCAGCTCCTCATTTTGTCCCCTCCCTCCCGGGTCCCACCCCTCATGAACCATTCATAATTTATAAATTACTATTTTGTCATGTCTTAATACTGTCCGACATCTCCCTTCACCCACTTTTCTATTGTCCATCACTCAGGAAGAAAGTTATATGTAGATCCTTGTAATCGGTTCCCCCTTTCTACCCCACCTTCCCTCCACCCTCCCGGCATCACCACTCACCACTGGTCCTGAGGGGTTCATCTGTCCTGGATTCCCTGTGTTTCCAGTTCCTATCTGTACTAATGTACATTCTCTGGTCTAGCCAGATTTGTAAAGTAGAATTGGGCTGGGGGTAGGGGCTGGGGGAAGCATTTAAGAACTAGAGGAAGTTGTATGTTTCATCGTTGCTACACTGCACCCTGCCTGGCTTGTCTCCTCGCTGTGACCCTTCTGTAAGGGGATGTCCAATTGTCTACAGATGGGCTTTGGGGCCCCACTCTGCACTCTCCCTCATTCACAATGATATGATTTTTTGTTCTTTGATGCCTGATACCTGATCCCATTGACACCTCGTGACCACACAGACTGTTGTGCTTCTTCCATGTGGACTTTGTTGCTTCCGAGCTAGATGACCGCTTGTTTATCTTCAAGCCTTAAGACCCCTATCTTTTGATAGCTGGGCACCATCAGCTTTCATCACATTTATGCACCCGCTTTGTCTTCAGCAGTCGTGTCAGGAAGGTGAGCATCATGGAATGCCAGTTTAATAGAACGAAGTGTTCTTGCATTGAGGGAGTACTTGAGTAGAGGCCCAATGTCCATCTGCTACCTTAATACTAAACCTATAAATATATGCACATTGATCTACTTTGCCATTGTCATATATATATTTATATATGTACATGCCTGTATTTAGACATCTGTAAATGTCTTTTGTCCCCTAGTTCTTTCCTCTGTTTCCTTTTACTTTCCTCCGGTCCCACTGTCATGCTCAGCTTCCATTTGGGTTTCAGTAATTCCTCTCAGTTACATTGCCCTTGAGCAAGCCCTACCAGGCCTCCTACACCCTCCGTGCCACCGATTTTGGATCATTTGTTGTTCCTTGTTCCTGGGTTTGTTAACACCACTTCCTTTCCCCTACCTTCCCCTCTCCCATGTCCCCCGGAACCCTCAGTCCCGTTGTTTTCTCCTCCAGATTGCTTATTCCACCTATAGACCTGCAGAGATAATATGCACAAAAACAAAACAAAGCAAAACTACAACAACAAAAAACAATGACACACAAAAAACGAAAAGCCTGTAAACAGTTCAAGGTCTGTTTGTTGACCTTTAGGAGTATTTTCTGGTTGAGTCTGATGGGGTGCCACGCCCTGGCCGCAAAGTCTATTTTTGGTATTCCCTCCAGACTTCCTTGCTCTGCTCCCCTTGCTGTTCTGTTGCTCACTTTTAGTGTTTTGCCTTGGTGTGGTGGAGTCAGATTGGGTGCAATTCCCACACTGTTTCTCCAGTGTTGTCCCCTGTAGGGCTGTGGGTCAGTGAGGGACGGCGTGTCTCGTAGTGTGGCTAGTCATAAGGTCCTTTCTGTGCACTGTCTGCTCTGGGCCGGGATACTGTCCTCAAGGCTTGGTGGGTCAGGATGTACGAATATAGTAGTTTTAAGAAGGAGCCCTGCATTTCAAAAACCAAACAACCTCACTGCCACTAATTCAATTCCAACTCATAGCAACTCTATGTAGTGATTCCCAGGCTGCAAATGTTTTTACAGGTGCAGACAGCCTCATCTTTGTCCCACCAAGAGTCTCATGGTTTTGAACCACGGTCCTTGTGTTTAGCAGTCCGGTGCTTACCTAACAGAGTTTCTCTTGCTTTCAAAGCTATCTTAAACATTTATTTTAACATACAATAGGAAATGAAGGGGGGAAGCACCAGAATTATCATTTTAGTTAATAAGCTATGTTGGAAAGATGATATAAATGTCACGCTCACTCTTAGTTTAGCTATGGAAAAACTAAAAAGGAAAATCTAAAAACCTTTAAAAAGAGTCTCACTCTTAGTGACTTTCATAGATACAGTCTCTGCTTGACCCCATCTTTTCTTATTTGACCTCAATCAGAAGAAAAGACAGTAAAAAGAATACAACAATTTTACTGAGATGTTCTTGGCAATTTCATTTTCTGTGCTATGGGGAAAGGTTGCAAAGAACACAGGTATCTTCTACAAGCAGAGTCCTTACCACGACTTCCATGTGAAGACCTCAGTCAAATCGGCAGCAAGCAGCCACGGCCATGGCGTGGTGTTATTTCAAAGGTACAGAGAAGGTCACCCCAAAGTGCCTTCCCCATTTTGCTAATATTCAAAACTCTACAGATAATGCTTCATTTTGGTTACCTAACTCAAATGTAAATAAAGGAGAGAGACTAAATTAGCCTTCTCAGTTATTTTCATTTCAGTGTGAATTTTTATTATCAGATCCTTTCTCAAGGACTGGCAGGATGATGGGACTGATCACAGACAAGACAAGACAAGACAAGACAAGATGTCCTGAAAAAGTAAAAAGGATATATAATGAGAGAGGAATAAGGGGAACTCTCTCATAATTTGGCCTGGGGATTACCCTTATGGCAATGCAAACAGACTAGTTCATGAGCTTTATTCCCCTAAAGCTCCTTTTTTAAGTCCCAGGTTCTTGATAAACAAAGAGGGTCAACTGTGTGTCCATCTTAAAATTAACTTCATGGAAATAAAAACTCCCTAAAATTATGTGTATATTCTTCAAGAGAAAGGAGCTGTCGGTTTTGTCAAATTCTAAAGAAGCCCTATGATCCATGTAAGATAAGACCCACAGTTAGACTTATTGATAACAGAATCATGGGGTGGCATGTCTGGGCTGGTATTCATTTTACCTGAGCTAGTTGCTCTCATTCATATCCTCAGGTTCCAAAGGGGTCTACGAGACATCTGCTTATAACACACTGATCTCAAAGACATCTCATATGGTATTTCTTTAAAGAAATGGGACAGAGGAATGAGGTGCACCACGTCCAATCTCTTAAGAGCCACAATAGCATATACATACCAAATGATTCTTCCAAAGAGGTCTCTTCTCCAAGCACCAGGTCTACCATATTTTTGACCAGTTTGAAGAAGTCGTAGTGCATCTTCTCGTTCCTGGACGACTTTATCTAATGCATCCATGGAATCTACCACCTGAGATGACGAAGATGGGATTTCAATCATTTACAGCAGAATTCAGAGAAAATACAAAGACTGTGCATGTGAAGGCAGGGGGAGAGACAAATAAAGCAAGTGTGGTACAATATTAACATGAGCAATACAAGCGAAAAGTATATGAGGAATTCTCTGTACTATTCTTATAACTGTTCTGTCTGACATGTCATATATATATGCACATATATCTATTTGTATTATATAACTAAATTTTCACTAAGTTAGAATAACCTCCATAATCCTGGTAAATAACTGAGACTTTATTCTACACCTTCTTTGCCTCTGTAGGGAGATTAGGGCCTTTTCCCTCCAATGCTGGGTGGCTGTGACTGGTTTGAGCAACAAACTGACCTCAAAAGCCATCCAGGGGGAAAATGGACATATCTGACTAGATAAAAATATAACTTCTACATGAAACAAACAAACAAATCCTTAAACGTTTATAGTAAATACTTAAAGAGGAAAATCTGTACATGAAAATATAACCAAGGTATACCATGAAACTGAAAAATGCAAGTTGCAGAAGAATATGTGCATTACATATCAAACTTGTGTAAATGAAAAAGCAGTCACATGCCTACATGCACAGAGAAATTTTGATAGATAAATAAGCAAGCAGCACTTGAGTGGCTACCTCTAGGAGAGAGAATAAGGCACCTAAGAGATTTTCTTTTATTTTAACATGAAGAAACAAACTACAAAAACAATTAACTTCAATTGAGGAGGCAGCCACTTGAAAAAGGAAAAAAACCACAGGAAACACAGATTTATCAAGCATGTCACTGCAAGGTCTCGATCCAAGAATGAGAACGTGTGTGGGGGTCTGGGGACAGAATGACTACAAATGGGCATCGAGGTGATGAAAACGTTCGACGATTAGACTGCAGTGAAGGATCAAAAGAGACGGAAAGTTGAACTGAAATGAGAAAAGCAATATACTTGACAGCAGACAGAGGAGCCGGGTACTGCTCTTCGCCAGTACGCAGAGCCTCCCACAAGCCGTACCTTGTCTAACCTCTCCGGACTGGGCATCGGTAGCCTCTGCCGCTTGGCCTCCTGTTCTAGAGTGAGCAGCATGTTCCTCTCTTTCAACAGGACATACCTGCACCCCAAACAAAACATCTGTGATGATGCTATTCTGCGGTCATAAAGCTGTCACTTCTGACATTTTGCATTAATCATCTATACCCAAAAATCCTTTAGCAATTTCAGTATACCAAGTTCCTTACAACGAGTAACGCTTTTATTGGAAAAACTTTCTCATGGGCCACATATTGTACTAAGTGTTAAAACAATTTTTATAAAGGCATCATAAAAGTCTATGTATTCCAAATGAAGGGGTGGGGGGAGAGGATGGAAAAAGAATGACCTTGGTTGAGTACCTGTTACATGCTAAGCACACTATGTATGTTACTGCATTGACATCTCCTAATAACCATAGGATGGTGATGGGTTGGAACCTCCTTGATGGCACTTAACAAAATAACCCCTTGGGCTGGAGTGAGTTCTCTCTCCTACACGGATACGCTATGAATGAGAAACAGCATTCACGAATCAAAGCCCTGTCTGCATATGTGCAAAGTCCGTTCTATTTTCATTCCACCACGCTGCCTCGGAAGCCATCATTGATCATGGGGCACTGAGCGGTACAAACAACAAGTACCAGAGAAAGTTAAGCGGGAGAGATGACACAACTCTTTAAGGAAAATGCTCAGGGAACACTTCCTAGAGGACATGGGAAGAGGTCCTTTCACAGCAGAGCTAAAGTGGGAGTAGCTTTCTCTGAGAATCAGGGCTTGATGGATGGACGGGAATACAGGTAAATGTGGAGGGCACTGAAAATGGGACAACGGAATTGAGATACTTTATGCTTTAATACAACTTATTTACAAATACAAATAAGACCAACCTGTTTTTAAAAGCACTTCACTACTTTTACTCTAACATGAAATTGTTTGAATGTTCTGAAATGTAAGCCCCTCACCTATGTCACAATACCAAAAAATCCATTAAGAAAAGGGGTGTGGGTGTAAATAATCCTTTAAATCTGGGGACAAAAATGTAAATACCTACTGTTAGTGCCTAAACCAAACTCATTGCCATCAAGGGTAGAACTGTCCCTGTGGGTTTCCCAAACTTTTAATCTCATCTTTTTATCAAGGAAGGGCTGGTGGTTTTGAACTGCCAACCTTGCAGTAAGCAGGCCAACTTGTAACCACTATGCCACCTAAGTAGGTATTTCATTCTGAGTTAAATGGGCTTGGTGGAAGAACACAGGTAAGAAAAAGTGGCATGCAGTGCCCAGTCTAGCAGGGGTAGCTGGCTACAGAAACAGTCGGCTCCCACCACGGAGGACGATAGTTCCAAACCACACCAAACTCACTACCATCAAGTCAATTCTGCCCCATGGCTCAACAAGGCAGGCGAAAACTGCCTCTGAGTTTCAGAGACGGCAACTCTTTACGGGAGTGGAAAGCCTCGTTTTTCTCCTGAGGAGTGGCTGGTGGTTTCAAACTGCTGACCTGGCAGTTAACAGTCTAACACTTAACTTCTACACCACCATGTAGGACTGTAGGTCCACTGCTTTTATTGATTTAAAATCCAGGTTTTTGTATGAAAATTCCCAATTTTAAAGAAACAGTATAGTCCAAATAAAATGTATCTTTAGGAGAGTCAATTAAATCAATTAAAAATACAACTTGGTCTTTTTTCTTTTTACAACTTGGTCTTAAATCTTCTCAATCTCTCTAACTTATAAGAACTCACCAGATAAATCTACTGAATTCCTAATTAAAATGCACCCACCGACACGTAACCTCAAAGCAAATAAGTTAAAGATTCCCACACCATAGAAAATGTAATTAGTAAAAAAAAAGATTACTTATATTGGTTATGATTTTAAATTGCCAAAACAATACATGCTGTGAAACAAATATGAGACTGAAAAAAAAAAACTTAACGAGAAGTCTGAATGTTATCAGGGAATTCCTCATTTCATTTTACTAGTTAACTTTCTAGGTGTCACTAATATAAAGGTACTTGTACGACAGCTGAGACGCCCTGGTGGCATAAACTCTCTGCTGAGCTGCTAACCACAGGTCAGTGGTTCAAAGCCACCAATCGCTGCTCAGGAGAGGAAGTATGTTTCCCTAAAGATTTACAGCCTCAGATACCCAAAGGGGCAGCTGGACCCTGGCCCAGAGGATCGCTGTTAGTCAGAATCGACTTGAGGACAGTGAGTGAGTGAGGGAGTGAGTGAGTGAGGGAGGGAGGCAGGTAGAAGTTACAGTGAAATTTCTAAAACCCCAACTATTTGATTACACTAATATAGTTATCTTAATGGAATTAAACCTATTTACAAAATCTTTATTGACTTTATGTATCACCTACAGGCAAGTCACTTTACTCAATTTCTTACTTTACAGAGAGATGCCGTTTCTTCCTCGCTGTTACACTGTAACTGCTTCAAACACCTGGATGCTTGTGGGCCTACTACACTCACCAAAGCTTATGCAAATCTTCATTACTTTTATTCCGTAACTGTTGACATGTCCACGAAGCACCTAACAAAATGAAAGATCCATAACATGAGATAGTGTTTCTAGCTATGTGCTTTTTGGCAAATTACTCAACCTTTTAAAAGTTCAGTGTCTTCATCTTTAAGATGTACCACAACAGCTAACAACTTTATAAGACTGCTATGAATATGAAGATTAAATAATACGTAAATTATTAGTAAAGGGACTGGTAATCACATTTAAAAAGGTTAACACTGATACAATATGTATTTCCCCACTGTCATGTCAAACACTTTATATCAGTTATAAGGCAATTTCTAAAATCAAATATGGGCTAATTTAATACTTGGTCAGTGGATGTCCCTCTTGACTCAACCTGAATTTGTTCTAGGCTCAAGTATTTCTTGCTTGTTCCACGACAAAAATTTCTTTGCTGGCTTTTTATATATTGATGATGGTCTTTTCTTTTCTTTCTTTCTTTCTTTTCTTTCTAACTTATTTACACTTGTATTATTATTATCATTTTCTTCATGCCATTTTATTTTGTTTCTTATTGTTTCTGTTGGGTTTCCCAGTTTGTGAAGCACAGAAGGAGCCGGTGCATAGAGACAATACCTGATGCAAAGGTTTAGCAGGGATGTGGAGGCAGGGTGGGAGGAAATTTGGGGAGCAAACAATGAGTGTGAGAGAGGGGAGCACTAGAACAGATCGTGATGATGGATATACAACTCACTTAAAAAGCAATTTAACCATGGAAGTGTATGATATGTGAATACTATATCAAGGATACTACTGAAAAGAAAAGACACCAAACTTGACCAGTGGTTACCATGTGTGAGGGGGAAAGAGTTGTTGCTTAGGGGCATTGAGTCTCTGTCAACGGTGGTGGAACAATTTGGAAAAGGCTATCAACAATGGTTGTACAACATGAAGAGTATAATTAATGGCACTGGATTATACAAGTAGAAGTTGTGGAAGTGAGAATGTTTTGTTGTGTACATTTTTGCCACAATTAGAAAAACTATAATTACATGAATAACAGTAAGTACAAGGAAGAAGAAAAATTCCTAGAATTGAATATTGTGAAAACTGTACAGCCCTTCTTGATACATTCAAATTATTGAATTGTATGACAGGTAGATGAAGTGCTAATAAAACGATTTTTTTAACAAATCGTTAAAAACTAACTAACTAAGTTTCTAGAAAATAACATACTTCTCTTCTGATCTTTTGTCCAACGCCAAGGAACTCTGAACCCAATTATGACATTATCCTTTTAATTTCCTCTTAGAAAAAGCACCCAAACTAGAAATACATAAACAATTCCCAAACTGGACAGATGTTCCTACAATGAAGGTGGGATTATTTAATACTGATCAGCCCAAGACACTCACCAGATTTTACATTTTCTTGCCCCCAATTCTTTGGGTCATCAAAAAATTCTTCTAATCCTTTTCTTGCCAGAGTGGTGTGCAGTAATCTGCACTGGTGAAAAGATGGGACATTGGGTGTCGTCTTTGAGAACACATCAATTGAACATCTGCAACTGAACACAGGTAAATGATGAAGTTTTACAGCAGCGAGATTTATAAGCAATAACCCGAATCATTTCCTCATCTACAGTGCTTAAAAAACTTATTCTAGGGTTCCAAGCATGAAATAATAAATCTTTAAGATCTGTTAGCAAGTATTTTTAATATTGCACTGTAGGTGCCTATGATCCTACAATTTCCGAGGTAACATATACACATAATTATATTTTAAAATAACCATGGTAGGTCCTTCATAACCTGCTAGTGTACATGCAAACAGTGAAAAATATCCTGAGGATTCATTTTGAAACACGTAGCAGAAGGCCCAAACGATGAGCCCCTAATTCCATAATTCCACATGTAGAAATTTCAACCACGAAAGTGTTATCGATGGAAATTTACAAATTAAGATGCCTATGAAGCACATTCATTATTTCTAAAAGTTGATTATAAGGTAAAAAGGCAAAAACTGGAAAATGGTTAAAGAAGTTACACTGCATCTATATGATAAATGACCATGTAGTAATTTAAAAATCATATTTTTAAGAATAGTGCATCACCTGTTGTGTTCCTGCCAAAAAATGCTTAATCAGAACCTAATCACAATGAACCCTAGTCCCTGAGGGAGCAAATGGTTATGATCGAAGCTAGTTAACAAGTTTGGCCTGTTGCAAGGATCAACATATAACCCCATCCGAGGGGGACAAACAACAGCAAAGTGGGTGAAGGGCGACAGATGATGATGTAAGATACGAAAATAATAATCTATAATTTATCAAGGGTTCATGAGGGCCAGCGGGCGGGGGAGGGGGGTAAGAAATGGTGAGCTGATATAAAGGGCTCAAGTAGAAAGAAAATGCTTTGAAATTGATGATGGCAATCTGTGTACAAATGTGCTTGACACAATGGATGATTGTATGGATTACGATAGAGAAGTAAGGGCCCCCAATAAAAGTATTTAATAAAAAAAAAAAAAGTCTGGCCGTTTAAACCCAACCAAAGTACACAAGAGCGCTGATGGCATAGTGGTTATGCATTGGACTGCTAATTGCAAAGTCAGCAGTTCAAAACCACCAGTTGACCAACAGGAGAAGAGGCTTTCTACTCCCATAAAGTTAGTCTTGGGAACTCACAGGGCAGTTCTATAAGCTCACATTGAGTCAGAATCATCTCAATGACGGTGAGTTTGGTCCTTTGGAAGGTACCTAAAAACACAGGTGTCTGGGGAAGTGCTTCCTAACGGTCTTACATAGCTGAGCAAACCCTCTGAAGTAGTTCCACTCCACACCCCTGCCAGAGCCATGAGTCAGCATCAACTGGACAGCAAGTAAACATGACAATAACAACGATGAGAAAACAGAAATTCCACGCAAAAGCTCATCCTTTTAAAAAATAACAGTGTCATGAAAGAGCTAAGAATTTAAAAAGGAACCTTCTACAGTAAGGGAAACTAATGGACGAAGCCAACTAAAGCAGGGAGTGGCCCTTGATTAGGTCTTGAACCAAGAAGGAAAAAGGAATTATCAAAACCATTGAGGCTCTTTGATTTGAACTATGCACTAGATACCTGTAGCAAAAGAGTAGGCACCTATTAATATTAAATTTCTTGACGGTTTCCATTGCAATGTGGTTATTAGGCATGCCCTTTTTCTTAAAAGACATGTGCTGACGACCCATGGTGTTTGCAACTCTCATATATCTCAAATAGTTCTCAGACGGCATTGAAATAAAAGGGATAAAGAAAATGTATCACCGTGGCAGCAATGGTTAACCTACGTAAAGCACATGCATAGTTTTGATATTTTTCTTAGTTTGAAACATAAAACAGCAAACAATGGAAGAGCACAAAAGGGAATATAAATCTATGTGTAAATCTTTGCAAAGTTAACAAAGAATGGCAAGCAGTATAACTTTATACAAATGTTGGAATTAAAATTGCTTTTCGCTTCTTCAAAACACCCTATTTCCCAAGTATGAAATGAATGGATAACAGTAACTTTAAAAAGCTTAAATTATTTTTTTTAAGTTAAAGGGCTGACATACAAGAGACAATTGATCAGTTTGTGACCATGACCAAATTACCTCCTCTGAGGCTTTGCCAAGAAAAGAAACTTGCTTTTCTCTAAGTTTGGCATAGACAATAGTGCATAATGCACAAAAAACCTGTGCAGTCAAAAGCTGATGCATTGATTTATTAAAAATCTGACATGCCCCACAATCCCAACTATGTGGGCATCTGCCCCTCCCCCTAGAAGAATTTATTTCAGAGGACAACACTGAAGCTGCAGCTCAAGGAGAGGGACATGTCTGATCAGAGCACATGGGAGCAAATGAAGGGGGAGGAAGTGAGAGTGGAGCACATCCGGCCAACCAAGCCTTGAAGATGACATTCTCACTCACAGCAGCCAATGCACAGAAAGACCATATGGCCGGCCCCACTAAAAGACACGACATCCCTCACTGACCCATAGCCCTACAGGGGACAACAATGGAAACAGTGTGGGAATTGCGCCTGATCTGATCACACCACACCGAAGCAAAACACTAAGGGCGTGCAACAGAACAGCAAGGGGAACAGAGCAACGAAGTCCCCAGGGAATACCAAAAATAGACTTTGGGACCAGGGCTTGGCACCCCATCAGACTTGACCCGAAAACAGTCCTAAAGGCCAACAAACAGTCCTTGAATTACTACTATACAGGCTTTTCTTTTTTGTTGTTGTTGTGGGGTTTTTGTCATTGGCTGTTTGTTGTTGGTGTTGATGTTTCATTTTCTTTTGTTGCTTTGTTTGCTCTGTATTGTTTTTGTGCATGTTATCATCTCCACAGGTCTGTCTAAATAAGATAGGCTGGATGAACAATCTGGAGCCGAAAACAATGGGACCGACGGTTCCGGGAGGGGGGAACATCTGAGAGGAGGAGGTGGGGGGAAAGGAAGTGGTGCTAACAAACCCAGGGACAAGGGAACAAGTGATTCCTATCAGTGGTGAGGAGGGTGTAGGAGGCCTGGTAGGGTGTGACCAAGAATAATGTAACTGAGAGGAATCACGAAAACCCAAACGAAGGCTGAGCATGATAATGGGACAAGAGGAAAGTCAAAGGAAAAAATAAAATTAAAATTAAAAATAAATTAAAAAAAAATTTTTTTAAAGAGGAAAGTCAAAGGAAATAGAGGAAAGAGCTAGGAGGCAAAGGACATTTATACAGGTCTAAATAAAGGCATGTACATATGTAAATATGTTTATATATGAGGATGGGAATATAGATCTATGTGTATATTTTATAGGTTTAGTATTAAGATAACAGATGGACATTGGACCTCCACTCAAGTACTCCATCAGTGCAAGAAAACTGTGTTCTACTAAACTGGCATTCTATGATGCTCACCTTCCCGACCTGATCACTGAAGACAAAGTGGGTGCATAAGCAAATGTGGTGAAGAAAGCGGATGGAGCCCGGCTATCAAAAGATGGATTCTTAAAGGCTTGAAGGTAAACAAGCGGCCATCTAGCTCAGGAGGAATAAAGCCCACGTGGAAGAAGCACACCAGCCTGTGTGATCATGAGGTGTCGAAGGGATCAGGTATCAGGCATCAAAGAACAAAAAAATTAAATCATTGTGAATGAGGGAGAGTGGGGAGTGGAGACCCAAAGCCCATCTGTAGGCAACTGGACAGCCCCTTACAGAAGGGTCATGGGGAGGAGACGAGTCAGTCAGGGTGCAGGGTAACAACAATGAAACATGTAACTTTCCTCTAGTTCCCTCCAACTGTCATGATCCCAATTCTACCTTACAAATCTGGCTAGACCAGAAGATGTACACTGGTACAGATAGGAACTGGAAACACAGGGAATCCAGGACAGATGAACCCTTTAGGACCAGTGGTGTGAGTGGCGAAACAGGGAGGGGGGAGGGAGCGTGGGGTGGAAAGGGGGAACCGATAATAAGAATCTACATATAACCCACTCCCTGGGGGATAGACAACAGACAAGTGAGTGAAGGGAGATGTCAGACAGTGTTAAGATATGACAAAATAATAATGATTTATAAATTATCAAGGGTTCATCAGGGAGGGGGGGAGGGGAAAATGAGGAGCTGATACCAAGGGCACAAGCAGAAAGCAAATATTTTGAGAATGATGATGGCAACAAATTGCTTGACACAACGGATGGATGGATTGTGATAGAGTTGTACGAGCCCCCAATAAAAATGATTTTTTTAAAAAAATCCGACATGCCCCATTATTTACAGAACTTCAATTCATCTTAGCTAAGTGCCAACAATAAGAATGTAAGCATGCACTCGAAGGTAACAAAGATCAGTATACAAGATCAAGCCGACTTTACACCCCGAGACAATGAATACCATGTGTAGGATGTACACCTGCAGGTCAATTTTTCATTTGTTTGGCTACTTTATTCACTCAGCATGTACTGAACAATCTCTTTGTGACGGAGCAAAGAAGTACAAAGGCCTATTTTCTTTTTTATTCCATTCAAACCTGACATCCTTCAGTTCCACAGCAAATGCAAATGACATGTGACTTATAGTCCAATAAAACTACTGTGGGGGCGGGGGGAGATTATCTCCAGTAAAGTTTTCTCGGCACTATCCAGCACAAGAGCATGCCTCTTACATCTTTGTTTAACTCAACAAAAACTGGGCGTCTACTCATCCTACCTACCGCCGGGTCGACGGCAGCCTGCAATAAAACGTCTGAGAAAGAACCCCAGGCCCCCAATTTCTCCAAGGTCAATCACTCCCCACAACGGCAGGGGTTCGGGCTCAGCGCCTTGCAGGCGGCTTTTACATCCTGGAGCTCTGAGCATCTCTCGGGACCAAACGTCGAAAGCAAGAAAAGGTGGACACACACACGCCTAAGCCCACTTACCCTGCACTAGAACGGGCCTGAGAAGTTACTAACGCTCTGGAAGCCTTCAGGGCAACGGAAACCCCTCGGCAAAGAGCTGCCCAGCAGGACGCGGCCATATTTCGTAGCAGTACGCGAGGCACGTTTCCGCCAACCGAGCGTCACTTCCGCCGCCTGAGGCCTTCGGGTCGTGGGAACGGGCAAGCGCGCTTGCCCTCACTCAACATGGCCTCCTTCCGGCTTCACCCTCATGGGTGAACTGGTCCTTTCGACTCCCATGATCCTCTTCGCTTCTTCCGCTTGCCCGGAGTAGCCATGGCGGCCATGAGCTTATTCCTGCGGTCTTCGGTCACTGCGTTGGGACTGCTGTCCGGCCGCCGCGTGGGCACGCGACTCGGGCCCGGCGGCCTCCTCGCCCGCGGCCTTCCGAAGACTGACGGTGGGCGCTGATCTTGGGAGAAGCGCGCGCAGGGGGTACGGAGGGAGACCTGGAGGGCTCCCTGCCGTGACCTTGGTGGGGTCCCGAGGGAGCTGGGGGAAATTGGGAGCTCGGGGCTCGAGAAGAGACGCGGAGCAGAGGCTGTGGGATGAGAATGTAGAGATAGAGCGATCTCAGTCGAACTGTTGGTTAATATTTGTAAAGCATTTTGCCGTTCGAATTGATAACTCATTTGTCTATGCTGCTGAACCTAGGAAGGAAAAAGGCTGAGAGACCCTTGTCTCTCAGCCCCCAAGATTTTGGTATTTTCACTTGCACCAAGGTCTAGTCCCACGAGATAAGTCATACTGCCTAGGAGCCCATCCACAAGTAAGGGTGCAAGGACGGTAACTCTGCAGGCACAGTACCCAGAGAGCCCACGATTCTCAGGGATCCGAGAAACAACATTTCAATCTTTTTAAGGAGGGGGGGGGGGATCTTATTAATGGTTATGAGCTGATGAATCCAGCCCGGCTTGTATGCCTATTTTATCAATGCATTTATTTATAAAATGTCGTTTCAAACATCTTTTTGTAAAGACAGAAGTACCGGTTGTTGGGCTCCATCAAGTTGGTTCAGGCTTAGAGAGACACTGTACACCCGAAGGAAACACGGCCCGGTCCCTTGCCAGCCTCACAATTGTTCCTACGTGTGAGGCCCCGGTTGTAGCCACAGGTGCCAATCCATCCTGTGGAAGATTTTCCTCTTTTTCGCTGCCTCTCTGTCAAGCACAGTGTCCTTTTCCAGGGACTGGTCTCTCGTGATAACCTACCTATCCAAAGAAGGGGACTTGAAGTCTCGCGCTTTTCCCTTAGGGGCATTCTGGACGTACTTTTTGTTGTTGTTTTTTAAGGTGTCAGCAAGCTAACTTTTTTTCACAGGCAATGGGGACTCCATGCGAGTTTTTAAAACCACTGTTTTTTTCCACTTCAAGCTTTTTGTGCATTATAAAAACTGAGAAGCAAGGAGCAAAACGCAAAGAACACAAAAGGCATCCAGAATCATTTTGATGATTTCATACATTGTGACACATCTTTGCATACCCTGTGCATGTATATAAATGACTGAGCATACAATTTTAGGTGGTTGAGGTCACACAGTATGGATTCATGCATTTTTCCTCCCACACATCATGAATATTTACCAATTCAAAGTCCCTAAGCCATGATATTTTGACAAGCAAGAATATAATACGCTGACTCAACCAGAAAAAGAAACAATAAAATCCCATGGGGAGGAGAAAAACATTCATAAAAGACAAAAATGGTTAACAGGCCTCTAGATAAGGGTTACAATTAAAATACTGCACTCCCTTAATGTTCGTAAAACAAGAGGACACTCAGTCTAATGCTTCTAAGAAAATTATCAGATTTTAAACTATTAAAATATTACCAAGGTGTTTCCCCTGAATTTAATGGATTTCTATAGTACAGCCAAGAGATGCACACCTACATCGACGGTTATCATCCAGATGCAAATACAGGCACAGACTTGAATACACGTCTCCCCTTGCATGTCGTGCTGCCACCAGCCTAACCAATCTTGATGTATACTGCTCAAAGGTGGATTAATAATTCCATGTTCAAGAGGCTCTTCTAAGTCATAGCAAAAAGATATTTACAGATTGGTTAACTAACTCACTAGTACTTTTTATCATACATTGTCACTGCAAGACATCTAAAGAGCTTAGATGCTGTAAAATAATCTGGGCATACTACTTATGAGACAGATTTGTTTGTTCTGGCCGTCCGCGGTACTTCCTCATTCCCTGGCCTACTTTCACATACAGGTGAGGCCACTGGAAATATCTTGGCTTTGGGCTGATGGTTTGATACATTAGTCCTCAAAGTGACATCTTTACCCTTAAATACTTTAAAGAGGTCTTTGACTGCAAATTTACCCCATGTTTGATTCCGTGATGGCTGCTTCCCTTGACTGTGGATTCAAGCAAAATGAATTCCTGGACAACTTCAATCTTTTCTCCATTTATTATGAGGTGGCCTGATGGTCCGGTTGTGAGGATTTGAAGTTTATTTATATTTGAATTGCTATCCATACTGAAGGCTGTCCTCACTAAGCAAGGTTGTCATCTATAATTACAGCTTGCTATTAAGTCTTCCTTCCATCCGGATCCTGTATTCTTCGGCATATAGTCCAGCTTTCTCCCACAAGTAGCTGATGGTTTGACCTTATGGTTAGCTGTCCGACAGCCCCACCAGTATACTTAACTACTCAGAACCTGCCTTTCCTCATCTGTAAAACAACCTCCCCCAAAGTTGTGAAGAATTAATGTACTAAAACATTCAGTGGGAAAGAGCTACAGCACGTGCCATTAGCCATTGACAAGACCCTCCGGTCACATGTTTGTTAACTATCCCGTACTGTTGTGTTGTAACATAACAGTCTTCCCTAGTGAAAACCTGCCTTGAAAAGTAAACATAAAGGCATGCATGTATTTCATTCAAAGTATCCTATCAAATGACTCCAAAAGTGAGCTTAACTTCTCCGTTCAGCTGCAAGGAACTTCAGTGGGGGGAAATATATGAAAATTTAAACCATAAGTTATGGTTTTGAAGAATATTAACCCAGGTAGGGCAGATGTGAAACTTCCACCAGATTATGGGGGATAGTTTTAACAGATGAAATTGGCAGAAAAATAATGAGTTTTCTGATATGCTGGGTCATGGTCCCTTGGGATAGGTAGGTATTGAGAGCGAAAGACTTTAAAAAAAGAGAGTGTCAGGTTGAGGGGGTTCCCCAACACTAGAATGGGTCCTCAGGAGCAACTTTGCGACAGTGGAAAATATTAACGGCAGACACACAGCAGGGCACAGGGGCTCCTCGTCCCATGCAAGGACTGACAGAGTGCATGTGTTTTCCAATAGGTATATATGATGGGGCTTACAGATCTTTCATAAGACATGCATATCATACAGCTCACATATTACATAGTCAATGAGTAATATCATAAGCTGGTAACAATAAATAAAGCAATGAGGTGAATCATTGTCTTGATCCAGTACTAGTTGACCTGGGCTCCCTCTGAGCAACCAGGGGGTTGCTACATTTTACAGTGGGCTGGCTATAGAACCTGATTGCTTTTATCTACAGATAACCTTTAGGCATTGTGAAGTAGATTAACCTTATATAGTAGCTCCTATATGACAGTTCTTTTATGGGGGATTATTGTAGGGACTCTGTCCAGTCATGTGAATGTATATTAAGATTTACTCATAACTGTGAGAGTCTTCCCCCACCAGAGTGGCCTTTCTAGACCTGTCATTATGAGCATGGCTGGTTTAGCTGTATTACATTCTCATCCAGTTAGAGATGAGTTACCAGTTAGAGATGAGTTATCCAGTTACCACAAGAGAGACTGCATTCAAGCCAAAATATCTTGACTCATTTTCTAGCTTCCTCGGGGTCATCAACAGTTATTTTTAGCAGAAGAGGCATTAGTTGTGGACTTCAGAAAGATGTTTGTGAAGATTAGACTGTCGTAGAGGGGATGTCACTTAAGCCAGTGAGGTTACCAGAGCATGGAAAGAATGGAGAGTCGGAGTCATCGGATCAAGAGTGTTGACAGCTGGTGAAGAGGAACAGTGGAGATGACAGCTTTTTGTGTGCTTGAGATGCAGTAGTGCTGCGTTATTATCTGATCCTTGCAAACTCATCGTTACCAAAGATTGACTTTCCTGAGGCTATGTGCATTTCTACAAAAATGTTTATTGAAGCCTTAAAACCTGCTGATACTTCTAGTCTACTTCGGTTCAGGGAGACCCCATGTTTGTCAGGGTAGAGTGTGCTCTATAGGGTTGTCAGTGACTGATGTTTCAGAAGTCTGTTGCCAGGCCTTTCTTCTGATGCACCTCTGGGAGACTCCTACTTCCATCCTTTGGGTCAGCAATAGAGCATCTTAACCATTGCGCCACCCAGATACTCTATTGAAGCCCAGTTATTAGTAGCTGTGGAGCTAGTTCTGCCTCGTTGGGACCCCATGTATGCAGAGGCAATCTGCTGCATTGGGCTTGCAAGGCTGACATGGATATTAACTATGAGTTGGGCTGCTAACTGCCAGGTCAGCAGTTAGAAACCACCAGCTACTCTGGGGGAGAGATGAGGCGTTCGACTCTCTTAAAGTGTTATAGTCTCAGAAACCCATAGGGGCAGATCTCCCCTATCCTAAAGGGTCTCTGAGCCAGAATTGACTCGATGGCAATGAGTTTGGGTACTAATCTTTTAGAACCAGGTCTCTAGACCTGTCTCCTGAGGCATGCCGGGTGGGTTTGAACTGCCAACCTTTAGGCTAGTAGACAAATGTGTACCTGTTAATAAATAACCCAGCTGAGAAGCTCCAGGCTCCAGATACATGAAACATGACTATTTTGGTAGCAAGTGGACCTGTCTGATTTCCCGCAATTCTGGCAATCCCTTGGTTGTAAGCAGTGTTTGCCCTAATATTTTTAGATCGGAAGCAGATGGCCTTACTATATCAACAAATCACGAAGGCCCAAAACATCTGACAGAGTTTAGTGCAGTTATGAAACATACTGTAGAACAACTAATAGCCATAACAGTTCTCTGGCTTATTTAATGATATGAATAATTGTTGTTTAACGGTTAGATATATAAAAAGCAAGCCATTCACATGAGTAACCGACTACTGTTAGTAGAATGCGCCAGGCCCAGCTTTGCCCTACAGTTCTATCTCTTTGTGACACATCTATTTGTGTGGAAGAGCCATCGTGGCACAATAGTTCCTGTGCTCGGCTGCTAACTGAAAGATCAGTGAGTCAACCCCCAGCCGCTCGAAGGAAGAACGAACCCTCTCTTGTAAGAGGGGTCAGAAATCCTGTAGGTCAGAGTGTCTTACACTGTGGGTCATTATCATCAACTGAATAGTGAATCTAAAACATTTCTGGCAGTGCATGCCCGTATTGCAGATTTCTCAGGTAAAAAGGGATCATGGGTGGAAAAAGGTCAGAAGCCTTGCTGTAGGCCAACCCTCTCTGCAGGGCTCATTGTTACTATCTGAGCATATCCCATTATTGATACTTGTCTGATTCTGTAATGCAGAACCCAAGAGGCGGTCCATTTTATTTTCCAACAATATTGGAAATGACTTAATGGAACAAGCTGAAAGCTACCCTTTCACATGTCAGTCCTACTTCATTCCAATTCAGCACAGAGTAGCATAAGCCCTGTGTCTTGGGCAGCCCTTCAGACTCTGAAAGGCATCTGTCTGGGCCCCAGCTAGACTTTTCTTTTATGGAGGGAATCCAGGCAGAGCCTTATATTTGACTTGTATTGCAGTTGGTCCTTTTAGATTCACTCTTTTGCAAATGTGCATGAAGACACTTCATCATCATTGTCTGAGCCACTCGTGTGCAGCTAGAGGCCCGCCTCCAGGGCTCAACTTGTGAGAAATGCCATCTCACTCATCCAAGCCAGCCACAAAGTATTTGAAGACACAGGACTGTGAAAGGAGCCATGGGGAAGTTACTACATTAAGTAATTAGTATAGTTTGGGGTGTTATTAATCAACTCATTTAACTTGCTTTTCTAGGCTTGGAAGACACCACCCTCCCTGACACCTTCCACCTTCACGCTCCTGTCTGAGTAGGAACCTGCCCTCTGTACGCGTTCTTTTCTGACTCTGGGTCTTTCCATTGCTGTCCTAATGAACGTGCTTTGGGTTCACTGCAGAAGCAAAACCAGTGGTGTATTTGTACAGTATATAGAGAGAAGGGTCTAAGAAAATGGCTCACACAGCTGCTGAAGCAGACAGGTCCAAATCCAGGCAGGTTCCACATTTGTGGGTCAGATGTTAGACTGGAAGCTTCTGATTCGTAAAGCTGCAGGGCAGATGAACGCAACACTGGCAAGAAGACAACAGGCTGGTGGCTGCAGAGGTGACTGAATCCAGGATTGGCAGGCAATATGGCAGGCTGTACTTCACAACAGATTGTTCTTCAAGCAGTCCATGGTACCTTCAGTATTCAAACACGTCAATTCGTGGGCAATCTTCCTTAGTGGCCAACTTTGTGTCCCATGCATAGGAGGTGATTGACACTCCTGGGTCAGGCACGCCTTATTCTTTAAAGAGACGTCCTTGTTCTTCAGCACTTTGGAGAGGTCTTGTGCAGCACATTTGTCCACTGCGGTGTGTCACGTGATTTCTTGAGGGCTGCTTCCACGAGCATTGGCTCTGGAGCCGAACGTCCTCGACAGCTTCCATCTTTTCTCCATTATTTATTCGTTCCTGCCTTCAGAGATAAAAAGAGCCTTTTTATAAAATCTTAATTCATTATTAAACTTTTATGCATGTCTATCTTCTATTATAGCCTCTTTCACCTTAGACTGTAACAGTGTACTTGTGTGTGCTCAGTATAAAACGGGGTGTTTTAATATTTCTAGTTTCTGTTCGACACAGTGGAGGCCATGGGAAAAGACTGTTCATCATCAAGCCCTCTAGTTTCTACGACAAGCGTTTTTTGTCTTTACTGGTGAGTTAAAAGTAATTGTTGAACTAAACTCTCTACATACAAATAGCTTTTGTTTGTGTGTGCTAAGGTTTTTCCACCACCACCCCTTTTTTGTTTTACTTATTTAGACAGAAGCTTTAATTTAAAAAAATTTTTTTATTTGCTGAATTTATATTCTCTTGCCTCAGAAGATATTGAACTAGTGTACTAAGCTATGATTTGTTACTAAATCTTTTCGTAATTATTCAAACTTTCTGTAGAAAAAAAGGATTGATGTGAATTGAAGATAAAACTTGAGCAACCGTTTTTCTTCCTAAATGAATGAGGTTTTAAAGTAGAACCTACAGGAAGAAGAACAATAGACAAATGGAAAACGTTGAACCCAGATTCATTTCAGATGATTATTTGTATAACTAAAATATTCTTTAAATGACTAAAGAACTTACTGAAAGACATCTTTAAATAGCTCCCATGGAGCTTGGGGGTAGGTACCTGATTTTTAAATTTATATATTGTTCTTGATGTATGTTTTCTTTTTTTAATTTCCTGTGTGTATTATAAAATCAAGAACAATGACTTTTAGAAAGTAAAGCATGCCTTAAAAACAAAACAAAGTCTCCCTGCTGTAGAGTTGATGTCAATTCATAGTCACTCTGTAGGGCAAGGTAGAATTGCCCCTGGGAGTTTCTGGGAGTGCAACTCTTTTTTTTTTTAATAACAGTTTCATTGGTACTTAATCTACATACCACACAATTCAACAGTTCAATCATATCAAGAAGTGCTGTGCAATCATTACCACAATCAATTTTAGAACACCTTCCCCCCCACCTGCCATGGGTAAATGACTTTTAAAATGAGCTGTGTAATCACTATCAGTTCTAGTGCTCCCTCTCCCCTCCCACATACATTGTTTGCTCCCCCCACCTCCTCACCTTCCCCTCACCACGACCTCCCCTCTAAACCCTTGCATCAATGTAACTCTATACTGGAGTAGAAAAACCTCATCTTTCTCCCGAAGAGTGGCTGGTGGTTTAGAACTCCTGACTTGGCAGCTAGCAGCCCACTGGTAACCACTAAGAAGGACTCCTTAGTGCAATCTTAATTCCACAGAAAATGATTGCATTGCTGGGCTGGGGTACGCACTTTACCTTAGTGTCTCAAGACTCTGAAAAATCAAATTGTTGCCACCCTCTGACAGACCGTGTGAGCGCGGACTGAGCCCTGTGTTCTCTTGCACTCTCCCCCGACCCTCATTGTACCTGTTGACCCCTTGCTTTCTGGCCATGGCCAGCTCCTCTCATGGTGGCTGAAATAACCCTGATACTTTTATTCCTCTTTTTGGTACAACATTTTCTCATCAGTGTTCCATTATTTTACCCCCTAAAATGAAAAACCGCCAACTAATACATATTGCATTATACTTGTAAAATTGACAAACTAGAACAAAAAATGAAGAGGAGCCCTGAGGCATAGTGGGTTACACATTGTCTTGCTAGCCACAAGGTCAGCAGTTCAAAACCACTGGCCACTCCCCTAGAGAAAGAGGAGAAGATTTATAAAGCCAAGAAGGTCCATCAAACGAAATAAATTAACAGAGAAACCTCAAAAAAGGGGGTGGGGCGGAGACTTTACCCCTATAGGGTTTCAGTCTCCTAAACCCACAAAGGGTTGCTATGAGTCAGCATCAACTCGATGGCAGTGAGTTTTAGACAGAACCTCATGCTTTGAGAACAGTTTTGGCAAGTCACTGTTACTCAGCAGGCCACAGTTGAAGCTAGTGAGCTGCTTTGAGTTGTGCTACCAACGTCACCGATTGATTATATTTCCTCCTCCTATCCATCATGCTGTTAGCTTTTTTTAAAATCATTTTATTTTATTGGGGGCTCGCTTGTACAACTCTTATCACAATCCATACGTCCATTCATTGTGTCAAGTACATTTATTCATATGTTGCCATCATCATTTTCAAAATATTTTTTTTCTTCTTGAGCCATTGATATCAGCTCATTTTCCCCCTCCCTCACCCTCCTTCATGAAGACTTGATAATTTATATATATTTTTTCATGTCTTATACTGACTGGTTTCCCTTCACCTACTTTTCTGTTCATTTTCCTAGGAGGGGGTTATTTGTAGATCATTGTGATTGGTTCCCCCTTCCTCCCCCCACCTTCCCCTTACCCTCCTGGTATCACTACTCTCAATATTGATCCTGAGGGGTGTATCTGTCTTGGGTTCCCCATGTTGAGAGCTCTTATCTGTGCCTGTGTACATGCTCTGGTCTAGCTGGGTTTGTAAGGTAGAATTGGGGTCATGATAGTGGGGGGGAGGAAGCATTGAAGAACTAGAGGACTGTTGGCTTTTCTTAATCCTTACTTTTCTCCCCTTTTTTCAGGTGGTAATGTAGACACTAAAATCTAGAACAAAATAAAGGTACAGAAGTCAGGTATTTGGTAGTGCATCTTCAGTTGGGGAAAACCACATAAAAAGGATGATCGGAGGATGGTGACAGAGAAAGAGACCAGAATTGGTCATCTGAAATTAATTTTTTTTCTTAACAGAAATTCTACATTTTATTGACTGGGATACCAGTAGCAATTGGCATAACTCTGATCAATATATTCATTGGTAAGTCCCCCAAACTTTTACTTGGTAAAATTTTAAAGCATACATACATTAATGGAATAAAACAAACACCATGAGGATTTATTTTTAAATGGGCAAATCTTTTTTTTAAATCATTTTATTTTGGGGCTCGTACAACTCTTACCATAATCCATACATGCATCCATTGTGTCAGGCACATTTGTACATTTGTTGCCATCATCATTATCAGAACATTTACTTTCTGCTTGAGCCTTTGGAATCAGCTCCTCATTTTCCCCCCTCCTATCCCCAAACCCCCTCCCTCATGAACCCTTGATAATTATTATTATTTTTTTGTCATGGCTTACACTGTCCGATGTCTCCCTTCCCCCACTTTTCTATTGTCCGTCCCCCAGGGAGGGGGTTATATGTAGAACCTTGTAATCAGTTCCCCCTTTCTACTTCACCTTCCCTCCACCCTCCCATTATCGCCACTCTCACCACTGGTCATGAGGGGTTCATCTGTCCTGGATTCCCTGTGTTTCCAGTTCCTGTATGTACCAGTGTACATCCTCTGGTCTAGCCAGATTTGTAAGGTAGAATTGGGATCATGATGGTGGTGGGAAGGAAGCATTAGAGGAAAGTTGTATGTTTCATCATTGCTACACTGCACCCTGACTGGTTGATCTGACTCCCCGAGACCCTACTGTAAGAGGATGTCCAGTTGCCTACAGATGGACTTTGGGTCCCTATTCTGCACTTCCCCTCATTCACAATGATATGATTTTTTGTTCTTTGATGCCTGATACCTTATCCCATCGACACCTCGTGACCACACAGGCTGGTGTGCTTCTTCCATGTGGGCTTTGTTGCTTCTGAGCTAGATAGCTGCTTGTTTTCCTTCAAGTGTTTAAGGCCCCAGACACTATATCTTTTGATAGCTGGCCCTATCAGCTTTCTTCACCACATTTGCTTACGTACCCACTTTGGCTTCAGGGATCGAGCATCATGGAATGCCAGTTTAATAGAACAAATTGTTTTTGCATTGAGGGAGTACTTGAGTAGAGGCCCAATGTCCATCTGCTACCTTAATACTAAACCTATAAATATATGCACAGATCTATTTCCCCATCATCATATATAAATGTCCTTTGCCTCCTAGTTCTTTGCTCTATTTCCTTTTACTTTCCTCTGGTCCCACTATCATGCTCAGCCTTCATTTGGGTTTCAGTAATTCCTCTCAGTTACATTGCCCTTGATCAAACCCTACCAGGCATCATATACCCTCTTTGCCACCGATTTTGGATCGCTTGTTGTTCCTTGTCCCTGGGTTTGTTAACACCACTTCCTTTCACCCACCTCTCCCTCTCCCATGTCCCCCCTCCCCCCAGAACCATCAGTCCCATTGTATTCTTCTCCAGATTGTTTATCCCGCCTATCATATCTAGATAGACCTACAGAGATAATAATATGCACAAAGCAAGACAGCAAAACAAAGCAACAAGAAAATAAAACAACAACAACAAAAAGCAAATGACAAAAAAAAAAAAAAGAAAAGCCTGTAAATAGTTCAAGGTCTGTTTGTTGACCTTTAGGGGCTGTTTTCTGGTTGACTCTGATGGGCTGCCATGCCCTGGCCCCAAAGTCTATTTTTGATAATCCCTCGGGACTTCCTTGTTCTGCTCCCCTTGCTGTTCTGTTGCACGCCCTTAGTGTTTTGCCTTGGTGTGACACTCTGTCTCCAGTGTTGTACCCCATAGGGACATGGGTGAGTGAGGGATGTCGTGTTTCATAGTGGGCCCGGCCATATGGTCCTCTCTGTGCATTGGCTGCTCTGAGCAGGGATATCGTCCTCAAGGCTTGGTGGGCCAGGATGTGCGTCACTCTCTCTTCCTCCCCCTTCATTTGCTCCTGTGTGCTTCAGTCAGACATGTCCATTTCCCTGAGCTGTAGCTTCAGTGCTGTCCTATAGCATTGAAGAAAATTATTCTGGGTGGGGAGGGCAGCTGTCCATGTAGTTGGGATTGCGGCCAGTCCCTCAGACCTCTCTACTGGTTCTCTGCTTCATGCCAGTATAATGGTAAGTGGGCAGATCTTGATCTACAGTAGTTTCTCAGGTTATCTCAATGTGTATACTATATAGTTCTAAGGCTAAAGTTCAACATCACCGTTTTCTCTTGTTAGGTGAAGCTGAATTAGCAGAGATTCCAGAAGGCTATATACCTGAACATTGGGAATATTATAAGGTTAGTAGAAGACACAAATTCTTTATCTGTTAGATGTCCTATCAATGCCCTGGTTAATGTCTTGATTTAGCAATTACAGTATAGTTAGTTGTATGTTCAATTCCTAGTATTATGTCAACATATCTTTGTTCTGTTTTTATATGCAACTTCTCTTGGTAATTTTTTACATGGTTTTCATTATTTTGACTCATGCTTTTTCAAAGGTTACTCTGATAAGTGTTTCTGATCTACCAAAGTAACACTGATATTTTATCCTCTACATTCAATCCCTTGGCAAACATTTTACTAATGCTAACATGAGCTGTCATCTATTAGCAGTTATTATGCAGCAGGTACTGCGTTAAAGTATTTTTCAGAGATTATCTCATCTTATGTAAAGGGTACTATTATTATTCCCTTTTAGAGATGAGGAAGCTAAAGCTTAAAGGATGTTAAAGGACTTGTCCTAGGGAGGGCCAGAATGTAAATTGAGACCTTCTCACTCCAAAGGCTGCACTGCTGGTCATTACACTCTAGTGTATCCGCTGCCCAAACCCAGGGTGGCATATCTGTTCCTTGTCATTACACGTGTTGTACTAAGAAGGCCTGGGAAACAGAGCCTGTGTGTATAATCTGAATGAGTGATAGTTCAGAAAAGAAACATTTCATTATTGATGTCAAAACTAGACTAATTAATGGAAAGAGCTCTGTGTTAGTCTGGGTAGACTAGAGAAACAAATTCATAAACACGCATATGTATATGAGGGAGAGGTTTATAAACAAGAGCTATTGTACATTAAGAAAACATCCCAGCCCAGTCCAGATTAAGTCCATAAGTCTGATATTAGCCCATATGTCCTATACCAATGTATAAAGTCCTCTTCAGACTCACGAAACACATACAATGATGCCAAATGCAGGACGACCCTGTAGAAAGTCTTTGGGTCCAGTGGCGTTGTAAGCATTTCAGTGTTGGCAGGGGTCTCTCTGTGGCTTCTCCGGCTTCAGAGGTCTGATTGCGTCCATGTGGCTTGACTTCTGCAATGTCTCCCAGGGAGTAGCAGAGAGAAAGAGAGGAGTCTTACGCCTCCAAGGAGGAAGTACCAGATTTCCCAGAATTCTCAGGAGAAGGCCATGCTCACACAGACGTCTCATTGGCTATCTTCAGATTGACAGCCTAGACTCCACCCCTATGCTATTAATCCTTAAATTGACACCAGATTAGGTGACTACCACAAGCTCTATTTTTAGATCACCAAATTCTATTTAAAGAGGCCTGGTGGCAGAGTGGTTACACATTGGGCTGCAATCCATAAGATCCACAGTTCAAAGCCACCAGCTGCTGTACAGGAGAAAGTTGGGGCTTTCTACTCCCATAAACAGTTCCAGTCTCTGAAACTCAACAGAGAAAGTTCTACCCTGTCCTATAGGATCACTGAGTCAGCATCAACTCAGTGGCAGAGAAAATGAATTGTAGCTTTAGCTCCTGAATCTTCCAGTTACGATGTTTAGCATGGTGTAAGGGGAAAAGTGCGAGCTCTGGAGTTTTTATATTTACTTGTCTAGAAAATGGGGATAAAAATACCATCCACTCATGGATTAAGATTATTTAAAATTAAGAAAGTAGTTGTCGTAGGTAATATGTTGACTTACCTAACAAAATGGTCAATTTTAAAGAACAGTATAACCACAAAAGCAAAGTGTTATTCAGAAATGGATGTATTTTTAACCAATTTTATCTTTTCTGATAGCATCCTATATCAAGATGGATTGCCCGTAATTTCTTTGACTCTCCCGAAAAGAATTATGAAAGAACGATGGCTATCCTTGAAATTGAAGCTGAGAAAGTGGAATTACGGTAAAGGGGAGTGGGACGGAAGTAAATCCTGGTATTCTCGTATGACATACTAGAAGGAAAAAGTAAGACTGTTTCAACACTGTAGGATACTCCATATATAAAAATGAAGGTAGGAGAGGCTTTTCTTGGTTAGAATAGGAATTATGAGTTCGAAACTAGGAGACCCTAGCTGCTGTCAGGTGCCATCAAATGAATGTTGTCTGGTCCTGTACCATCCTCACACGCACTGCAGGGTCTGAGCCCAGTGTTGCACGTACTGTGTCCGGCCGGCTCCACTTTACCAAGCATGCTGTCTTTTTCTGGGTGATTTGTCCTCCTTTACGATGTCTCCAAACAAACGAAAGTCTCACCATCCACAGTTTAAGACGCATTTTGGTTTGTCTTTCTTCTGGCTGCTGACTGCACATTCTTTACCAACAGCACCGTTTGAATGTATCGATTCTGCTTTGCTCTTCCTTTTCCCTGGGCCACCTTTCCCGCGTCTAAGCTGGTGCTAGGTGTCGGGAATTGGTTCTGACGCACAGCCCTCCTGTGGGCAACAGAACAAAACACTGCCTGGTTGGGTGCCAGTATCACCAGTGTTCTGGTGTTTGAGCCCATTGTTGTAGCCACTGCCTCAATCCATCCTGTGGAGGACTCTTTTCTTCTTCGCTGCCCCTCTACTTTAGGAAATGTGATATCCTGCTCAGGGACTGGTCTTTCGGGACAACATGACCAAAGCACATGAGAGGAAGCTTCGTCATCCTTGCCCCTAAGGAGCATTCTGGCCATTCTTCCTACACAGATTTGTTTGTTCTTTAACAGTCCATGAAGCTTCTTTGCCAGCACCATAATTCAAATGCACCCATTGCCTTTCTTATTTGATGTCTAACTTTCACGTGCATAGAAGGCAATTGAAAATGACGTTTCGGGTCAAACGAACCTTAATCCGCAGAGTAACATCCTGTCTTTGCAACACTTTAAAGAGGTCTTGGGTACCAGATCTATCCGATGCAACCCGTCCTTTGATCTCTTGTGTGCCGATTCCATGAGGATTGATTGCATATCCAAGCAATATGAAGTCCTTGACTCCTCCCATCTGGATTTTGGTCTTCTTTGTTGAAAGCTGTAATCCATAATGAAGGCTACAGTTATTTATCTTCCTTAACCAGTGCTACAAATCCTCAGTTTCAGCAAGCAAGTTTATGTCATCTGCATACCACAGGCTATTAATAAGCCTTCCTCCAATCCTGATGCCACATTCTTCGTCATATAATCCAGCTGCTCTGATGATTCACTCAAGTTACTGATTGAATAAGTATGGTTAGAGGGTACAACCTTGTCACGCACCTTTCCTGTTTTTAAACTATGCCGTATTCTCTTGTTCGTTTCTCACAACTGCCTCTTGATTCATGTACATATTCTACATCAGCACAGGAAGTGTTCTGGAATTCCCATTCTTCTCAAGATTATCCATAGCTTGTTTTGAACTACACAGTGGAATGCCTTTGCATAGTCAGTAAAATACAAATAAGCATCTTTCTGGTGTTCTCTTCTTTCAGAATCCATCTGACATCAGCAATGATATCCCTTGTTCCACATCCTCTTCTGAATCTGACCGGAACCTCTGGCAACTCCCTGTCAGTGTATTACTACAATCGTTATTGAATGTCTTCCACAACATTTTACTTGCATGTGAGATTAATGATATTCTATAATTTGAGCATTCTATTGGGTCACATTTCTTTGGAATGGGCATAAATATGGATCTCTTCCAGTTAGTCAAGTAGCTGTCTTTCCAAAATTCCTAGCTGCCAGTACTTAATCAGCTTGGTGAAACCTTTCCATTTGTTTGATTTTGGCTAATGCTTGTTTTCAGCTGTTTGGGGTGCAGCTTGAACTTCTGTTAGTGCCATTGGTTTTTAGTCATGTGCCAAGCTCTTGAAATGGTTACATGTCAACGAGTTGGTTTTGGTACAGTGACTGTGTTCTTTCTCTCTTCTTTTGGTGCTTCCTGAATCATTCAATATCTTGCCCATAAAATCTTTCAGTTTTGCAACTCAAGACTTGAATTTTTGTTGTTTTACTTTCAATTTCAGATATGCTAAGCATGTTCTTCCTTTTTGGTTTTCTAACTATAGATCTTTGCATATTTCATTATAGCATTTTACTTTGTCTTCGCTAACTGTCCCTTGAAGTTTTCTGTTCCACTCTTTCTTGTGGGATACAGACAAATTTCTCCCAAGTTGTCTCCCCCAAATGTATGCCAAACTTAGCTGCTTGCTACACAAGGCAAACGACAGAGGTCAATGAAAGCATTTCAGAGCTTACTCTCCCTAAGGGTTGTCAGCCATCTAGAGCAATCAGACTGTATAGTCTTTCCCACCCTAAGTAGGGCCCACTCCCTTCTGATAAGGATAGTCGATTGTGTCCTTGAAGGAGAGCCCAGGGAGGTCAAGCCCACTCAAGGGTGACCAAGGTTAAGCTGGCATATTGAGTCTAAGGTCTGCCCATCTTGTCACGTATATACCCCTAGTCCCTCCCCTTTCTATTACGTGCACACCCCTAGTTCATCCCCTTCCTTTCGTGCTTATGCCTATTGTACATCAGTCCCCTGCTGTGATGTGTATGCTTATTGTACAGCCCCTTCCTTTGATGTGTGTGGTTACCTGTAATCACACCCCAAAGTATATATGGGCCTGGGCCAAAAATAAAGAGACTCCTCCTGCCCTCTCTGCCCATGCTGTGCGCAGACTTGCCTGGTGAAATCATGGCCATTCAGGAGGTGAGCTTGCTACCATGAAATGTGTCTGACTCCTTTATTTCACCTTCTCTTCTCTTATTCTCTATGACTTTACTATAATCTTTATATATCATAACCGAACAATTGCGCCTATTAGACCCGTGATATAGTTGTGAGGGGCTGGTTTCCCCCACACTTTCTAAATAAAGATCTTTGCATATTTCATTATAGCGTTTTACTTTGTCTTCTCAAACTGTCCCTTGAAGTTTTCTGTTCAGCTCATTGAGTTCATCCTTCTGTTTGCCTTTGCCGCTCTACAATGAAGAGCAGGTTTCAGAGTCACTTCAGGTATCCACGTGGATCTGTTATTTCTTTCCTGTCTTTTTATGGCCTTTTGCTTTCTTCACGAATGATGCCCTGGATGTCCTCCCACAGCTCATTGGGTCTTCTGTCTTTAGTGTCCAGTGGGCCACATCTGTTCTTGAGGTGGTCTTGAAACTCAGGGAGATAGACTCAGGACTCGGGAGATAGACTCACAAGAGGTTTTATAGTCAACACAGTGAATGCTTTTACCTAATCTGTAAAACATGGGCACATGTCATTTTTTATATTACCCGAGCCTAGTGTGACTTGGCAAGTTTCTGTCAATGTATAGCTGCAGCCTTTTTTAAAATTACCTTCATCAAATTTTTGCTAGGATATAGTACTAGGGATTGTGCTAGACGATTGTGTCCTTCCTTTCATCGCCTTTCTTTGGAATGAATTTCTATCAGTTGATTAGCCAAGCAAATGTCTTCCAAATTTCTGACATAGTCAAGTAAGTGTTTCCAGGAGACTCTTAGGGGATGGTATCTATCTGATTTTAAAAATTCTTATAATATTATACTATTTTCTGTTTTTCTTGTTTGTTTGTGCAAGACAACTCTTCCCTCAATTTCTTTTCCTCTTGTGCCAGTCTTATTCTTACTGGTGACTTATGTTTACCAATTTCCTTCTTAAACATGGGAAAAAATGTGTATCTCAAAGTCTATCATTTGACAATACATTAATACAAATTGGGTCATTCTGCACCTTTTCTTCATTTCACATGGTGTAGCTAGTTGGTCTTTCCACCGTGTTACATGCGTCATTCTTTTTAATGGCTGTATCACATATTTCGTTGGATAGATGTGCTTTAATTTTTTTATTCCGTTGCCCATTGTTGGTATTTAGATTCTTTCCACGATTTTCTTCTATGACTCATAACACTGTCACGAGTACCCTCATATTTTTGCACAAATACACCATATTTAAAAAATTCCTAGCAGTGGCAAATGACCTATGCTCTTAAGCTCTAACTCAATGGCCAAACTTCAAAAAAATCGCACCAGTTGTCCTGCCCATCACCGATGTGTGATGATTCCAGTGTCTCCATAGCCGTCATTGTCAAGCTTATTGTTGATGAAATGAATCATATGCAAACATCTTTGCTGATACAGTAGTTGAGGAATGTTATTCCAATTGTATTTCTTTGTAAAGTTGAATCACTTTTCGTGTAACTTTCTAAAGTTTTCATGAGTATTGATTTGTACAAAAATCAAAGCAGCCTTATTTCTTGTTGCAGCTGGCCATTTGTCTTTTGACGATATAGCATTTTTTGGCCAAGTGGAACTGTTTTTATGCTTCCGATAATAAATGTTGCTCACACCTTTCGGCCTCATGCACAGAAGCATCTTAGGCCCAGCAGCATATGCAACCCTGCCCAGTTTCCTGCCATTCCCATGCTTGATTTTAGAGCAGACCAGTAATTTCTCGTACTTTTTAAAAGTAATTTTATTGGGGCTCTTACAGCTCTTATAACATTCCATATATCAATTGTATCAAGCATATTTGTACATATGTTTCCATCATCATTTTCTAAACATTCGCTTTCTACTTAAGCCCCTTGGTATCAGCTCCCCTCCCCACCCCCCACCCCCAAGCTAGTACATTTTGAAAACACTTACGACATACCCCAAAACTCACTGCCATCAAGTCAAATCTGACTCATAATGACCCTGTGGGACAGAGTAGAACTGCTCCTGTGGGTTTCCATGACTGTCACTCTTTATGGGAGTAGAAAGCCTCATGCTGTGTAGTAAGTATACTATATATTTAGTAATGATTGAATTGCTCTATTCATCATTTACTCATTTAATTACTGATAAATTTATCAGTTTGTTATTTCTTTAGCTTGAGATTTTTGTGCCATGCATGGTTTTCTGATTAATCAAATAAGTAAATGCATAACGCCAAAATATTTTAGAATGTCCATTCATGTTTTCTTTGGCTACTTTTCAATTTGAGCCAATCAGAGAGGTATAATTTGCATGCAGTAAACCTTGGCCTCTAGCTCAGAAGCAACAAAGCCCACATGGAAGAAGCACACCAGCCTGTGTGATCATGAGGTGTCGAAGGGATCAGGTATCAGGCATCAAAGCACAAAAAAAACATATGATTGAGAAGGAGGGGCAGTGCAGAGTGGAGATCCAGAGCCCATCTGTAGGCAACTGGACATCCCCTTACAGTAGGGTCTTGGGGAGTCAGATGAGCCAGTCAGGGTGCAGTGTAGCAACGATGAAACATACAACTTCCCTCTAGTTCTTAAGTGCTTCCTCCCCACCACCATCATGATCCCAATTCTGCCTTACAAATCCGGCTAGACCAGACGATGTACACTGGACAGATAGGAACTGGAAACAGGGAATTCAGGACAGATGAACCCCTCAGGACCAGTAGTGAGAGTGGCAATACCGGGAGGGTGGAGGGAAGGTGTGGTACAAAGAGGGAACCGATTACAAGGATCTACATATAACCCCCTCCTTGGGCGACGGACAATAGAAAAGTGGGTAAAGGGAGACGTCAGACAGTGTAAGACATGACAAAATAATAATAATTTATCAATTATCAAGGGTTCATGAGGGGGAGAGGTGTGGGGAAGGAGGGGGAAAAATGAGCTGATACCAAGGGCTCAAGTAGAAAGCCAATATTTTTTAAATGATGATGGCAACAAATGTATAAATGTTTTTGACACAATGGATGTATGTATGGATTGTGATAAGAGTTGTATGAGCCCCCCAGTAAAGGATTTTTAAAAATAAATAGAAATAAACCTTGGCCATTAAATTCCGTGAATTTTGGACAAAAGTACATGCTTATGTGACCATCACTGCAATACCGGTCATTTTGATAACCCAGAAACACTCCTATGGGCCACTCTCCCAGCCCATCCAGTCATTCCCATCTGGTACTCTTGGCCTCAGTCTGCTACAGACCGGCTGTAACTTCATTCTGTTTTGAACTTTGTTGCTTTTTAACTTTACCACTGGCCTTGCCAGATTCACTGTTGCTTTTCCATGTGTTCCAGGTTAAAGGAGCTGGAAGTGCAGGCCTTAATGCGGGCGAGAGGTGACGGGCCCTGGTATCAGTATCCGACTATCGATAAAGCACTTATTGATCACTCTCCAAAAGCATCTCCTGACAACTAAGCGGTTTTTCCTCCCAAATACAAAGTGTGTTCTCTTTAGTGAAAATAAATGCATCAATACGTTCTGTATGTTTGCTCTCTCTGATGAATAAAAGAGTGTCTGTCTTTGTCTTGTTTCTCGTTGTTGGTTCCAATGAAAGCTTTCGGGAGATATAAAATGTTACCAGTAAAAAGTGGGAGGGAGAGGAGTGTGCAAACTCAAGTTGTTTTCCTTTTTGATGAATAGAATTTCAGAAGAGAAGGCTAATTCTTCTCAGCATCAGGGAGTATCTATATTAATTTGTACATACACCTGTATTGTCGACCAAGATCCTCCAGTGGCAGCTCATGATTTTAAATCGCACAGGAAGTATTGAAATCCTGTATTTTATAACATTCGAGGAAAACATGTTCTTCCACTGAGCGGGGGTGGCTTTGAACTGTAGACCTCGCAGTTAGCAGCCTAGTCCTTAATCCACTCTGCCACCGAGGTCCTCCAAAACATTTTTTTTTTCTTTTTTAACATTTTATTAGGGGCTCACACAACTGTTATCCCAATCCATACACACATCAATTGTGTAAAGCGCATTTGTACATCGTTTCTCAAAACATTTTCTCTCCATTTAAACCCCCGACATTAGGTCCTCATTTTTCCCCTCCCTCCTCGCTCCCCCCTCCCGCATGAGCCCTTGATAGTTTATAAATGGGTATTTTGTCATATCTTGCCCTGTCTGACGTCTCCCTTCACCCACTTTTCAGCTGTCGGTCCCCCAGGGAGGAGGTCACACACAGTTCCATGTAATCGGTTCCCTCTTTCCTACCCATTCTCCCTTTACGCTCCCTGTTTTGCCACTCACACCACTGGTCCTACAGGGCTCATCCGTCCTGGATTCCCTGTATTTTCAGTTCCTATCTGTACAGTGTACGTCCTCTGGTCCAGCCAGTCTTGCAAGATAGAATTCGAGTCATGGTAGTGGGAGCGGGGAGGAAACCTTTAGGAACTAGAGGAAGATTGTATTTCTCATCATTGTTACATCGCACCCTGACTGGCTCATCTCCTCCCCGAGACCCCTCTGCAAGGGGACCTCCAAAACATTTTCAAGATAACAACACTTGACATTTTATTCTTGCTTTTTATTAGATATGTCCATTTTTCTTAGATTTCATTCATGTAGGACTTAGTTCTTAAAATTTTCTAATGTGTTGCTTTAATTCGCAGTGGCCCCAAGGTCAGGACATCACACAGACTGAAGAGCAGCTCTGGCAAGGCTGTGGGCTGCGTACTCGGACTGCACAGCTGAGACGGGAAGAACTCAGAGATGAGCCAGTGTAGTTGCTTTTTCTCACATAAGTTTATTCTTTTTTTTTTTTTTTTTATAAGTTTATTCTTGAATGCACAGCGGGCCTCCAAGACACCACTTCAATCTAACAATCGGGCCAGCAGATGTTCTAGCAGGGAATCCAGATGTTTACACAGAAATGGAGTCAAGGGTCAGCACCAAGAACAGCTGGCGTTTTGCCAGATTTCTTAATTCCACCTGTGGCCAGGGGGGGGGCCTTCGCTTTGAGCTCCTCGAGTTACGTCAGGTGTTTCTGTTTGAAAGCCTGGTCTTCCTTGTCTATCGGGCTTCTTGCCGTCTTCTCTACCTGGCAAGGCACCTGCCCGCCCCTTTCCCAGGCCTGCTACCAAAAAATAGGCCACTTAGGATTTCTTAAAGGGCGTTTGTAGGTACTACAGAAGTTGAACAGGGTGACAGCAAACACTACAAAATGTTAAAGCTGAAAATCTTAACGTTAGTTATCAAGGATTTATTGTACTAAACTTTTCATGTTATTTTCAGAATGTTGTAAGATACTATCTGCGTTTTACAAATGAGAAACTCGTGGTTTAGAGATTCTAAATGCAATTTTTTCTCACTGCCATCGAGTCAATAACTCATAGTGACCCTATAGGAAGGGGTAGAACTGCCCCTGTGGACTTCTGAAATGAACTTTATGGAAGTAGAAAGTCTCGTCTTTCTCCGGAGAAGCAGCTGTTGGTTTTAAACTGCTAACCTTGCAATTAGCTGAATGCATAACCCACTATGTCACCAGGGCTCCTTTGAAATACATAATATAGTAATAAGCATCTAAAATAGGCTTTTCAGCATCGAAAGTGGCTTTTGACTTCATTTTCAAACCTGTAACAGTCACTATTCCTCATGAAAGTAAAAGTGTCCTCAGGTCAGGGGTCTACATATAACTTCCTCCCTGGGGAACGGACAACAGGAAAGTGGGTGAAGGGAGATGTCGGACAGTGTAAGATACAACAAAATGATTTATAAATTATCAAGGGTTCATGAGGGAGGTGGGGAAATGAGCTGATGCCAAGGGCTTAAGTGAAGAGCAAATGTTTTGAGAAGGATGAGGGCAATGAATGTACAAATGTGCTTGATGCAATTGATGTATGTATGGATTGTGATAAAAGAGTTGTATGAGCCCCCAATAAAATGATTTTTTTTTTAAATCAGGGTTCAAAAGACTACCAGAAGCCAGATAGAAAAATTGACTCTACTGCCCAAACAAGCAAGCAAATTAAAGACCAGCTCAGGCCATTTGCTCAGCTGTTTGAGTCCCTGCTGTGTTTGGACAATCCAGCTAATATTATCCTTAGGGCTGGGTGCAAATTTCACTTCCCCAGCAAAGGGCTACCAGACACTCAGCACCTAGATTTTGTTCTGAGGATTCAGATGCATTCTAATTAAAAGCTCAGGCTAAATTCATTATCGAGTACACTCCGGCTCACGGTGTCCCTATGGACAGGACAGAACGACTCCACAGAGTCTTCTAGGCTGTCATGTTTAGGAAAGCAGGCTGCCACATCTTGTGAGAAGCGGCTGGTGGGCACGAATTGCCATCCTTGTGATTAGCAGTCCAGCACTTAACCTGGGCCACCGAACTCCTTGCAGTGCACTCACTCCACAGCTATGTGGGAGGAGTTGGGAGAAGGCAACCAAAACCAAACTGCCGGGGAGTCAAATACCCCACCCCCCAAGTTTGCAAGCATTTCTTGGATTTTTTAAATAAAGCTAATATGTTTATGTGAATTTGTATGCAAACATTTCCAACTCAAAAGCATAAGTTTATGATGCCTTGACCACTGTGCTTTGTAGGAGGGATGCAGTGGTCAGCACATGAGACATGTTGTCTCCAAAAACTGCTCTTCAATACAAAAGATAGAATTAAATTTTAAAAAATTAATGCACTGGGTTTGAGAAGAACAGGACACTGTTGCAACCAATGGAGGTCCCAAGCTAGCCTGAGGTGACCCGGAGTGATTGTGAGCAGGGACCTGGGCTTCCTAGAGGGAAGGGAGGCATGTTCTGAGCAGAGGAAGTCTTGAGAGGCAAGAGAATTGAACTGAAAAACATCTAGAGAAGCCTGGAATTTAGTGGATAAGTAGGAGAGGTGAGGAGAAAAAAGTAAATGTGGATCAGGTCACTCACAGTATGGCAGCTCTGGGTGAGCGATTTGGATTTTGCCTTCAGAAAAAATAACCCCACGCCCATTGCAATCTGGACAATTCTGACTCTTAGGGACACTTGTTTTTAGGTATTGTCAAATCACCCCCAACTCACCAACCACAAGTACCTAATAACAACAACATCAAGGCCTTGTGAAGGAGTCCTATTGGTGCAGTGGCTTACACCTAGGGTCACTATGAGTTGGAATCCACTCAATGGGAATGGTTAACTGAGTCTTGTGAATGATATAATTCTCAACATAATATTTTCCCTTTATCGCAGACCTTATACTTTTGTCCAGCGTTCCAGATTTTGGAAATTTGATTCTGTTGGTTAAATTGTTTTATCTACTCATCGAGTTGTCCTAAACGATGCATGCCCACAAAACATTTATTCAGAAAATAGCCTTCTTATCCCTGCAATTATTTAAAACTTATCATTCCTTTAAACACGAAGAACATGGTTATTTTATATTGTGTGTTTGAGGACTCAAATATCTGGAATCTTTCTCATCTGTTTTTGTGTATGGATTATTTCTGCTTGCTCTTAATCATGGTGCCTTGTTTTCTTGTGTGCTCAGTTATTCTTCAAATTCTATTTTCACTGTGAGCATTTTATTTTCCTTGTATTTGCATTTGCCAAGCATTATAAGCAGGCGCATTTTCAGTATGAAAAGGTCTCCCCAGATTGAGTCATACATGATCCACAGTAGAGTTATGAGGTAGTTAGTTTATTGTGCCAACCTGGCTGATAAATACATGTGGGATTAATTGAAGGGCAGAGGGATAAATGGATCAGTGAGCCTGACCTTTCCAGTTCTTGGGTCTCTTGCTTTGTGATGGTCGGACCAGGGTGCAGCTGCCTTAGCCAGTTTCCTGCTTCAGCTGGCAAGGCTCATTTCCTGCAAGACATCCCTGAGAAGAAGCCACATGGACCTACCCCGATGCAGCCCTGGGTGCTGGAGCAGCCGTCTGGAGACTCCTGCCAGTGCCG